TCCGATAGGGCCATGTAAATGCGGCTCATAAAGTCCGGATCTGGTTTGTTCAGATCGGACGACTGCTTACAGATCCGTCGGACCTGTGCAAGCCATCCTTTCACCATTGTCTTGTTGCCGTCAAATTTTGGCAACTCGGTGCGGACTTGAGCTCTCGCGGTGGCTTTTCCCATCTCTTGGGCTATTTCCTTTATTTGCTCTCTGGTTGAGAGAGCTGGACTGGCCGGTGGTGATGGGGCAGGTGTTGGCTGCTGAGGTATCAGCGGCACTTGTTGAGGTTGGGCCCACGTTGGTTGGCCCGGTACGATCTGGATAGCTCCGTTGGACGCCATCCATGCGTATGCTCCATTCGGGAGCTGGATCAGCATGGGCGCATTCTGGCCCAGGCTTGGTTGGGCTGCTGGTCCTGTTGGCATGGCCGCTGTTGGCGGTATGCCTGATGGTTGGGGCATGTTTTGGCCCGTGGGCGTGGTTTGGCCCATCTGTGGCTGAGCTTGGCCCGTTGGGGCTGCCGCCGTGATAGGAGGGCCGAATAGGCTTAGTTGGCCTACTAATGGTGGTTGCACCGTTGGTGTACCACCTTGGCCTCCTATCTGTCCTTGCCTGGCCGATGGCCCGAACATAAGGCTCGGCTGGCTGGTCCGGTTTGGATCCACGCTGCTAGTGTGAGCCTGGCTTATGGCCGGTTGTGGACTGAAGTTGAAGTCCATGTTCGGGAATATTGACGGGTACAAGGACGGGTACGATGGCTTTGATCCGTAGTTGCTGTGGCTCGGATCAAAGCTTGGCCCGCTTGACGTAGACGGATAAGTCTGCGTTGCGGGCGTCACTATCGTCGTTGGACCGATAGTGGCAGTTGTGGTGACCGGGACTGGTGGTGGCGGCAGTGTTACTGTCGCCGTTGATGTTCCACGGTCCACTGGGCTGGGAGGCGCAGGTATGGTTGGCCCCTTTGGAGGATCTCCAACCGATGGCCCTTCCACAGCCATGTTGACTTGGTAATTTTAGTGATGATACACTGGCTCGCGGTAGAAGCGTTGGCCCTGCCGCAGAGCCTCGTCGACTTTTTCTTGTCGGCGTTTTGTATCCGAGTCTGGAAAGGTATGATAGGACGGTGGTTCTGCGGACAGCTCGGAGTTGATGTCTACGAGGTGTGATTTCTCCGCATCTAAGCAGGCGCTTTCCGTGCTTAGTCTTTCCAGTTCCTCGTTCATTTCGGTTATGCGTTGGGTGGCCGCCTGGTAGTCTTTGACCAGGCCGGCGTTATTGGCCTCCAATGTGATGATCCGGTCATGTTGGCCCTGGATCACTTGTTTAGCTTGGTTGAAGGCCTGCTCCAATTGGACGAAGTTTTGGTGTCCTATGGTGCTGTTCTGCTCAAGTTGTGCCCGAATGGTCGCTTCGGTATTGAGCTGGCTCTGGAGGGCAACGATCTGTTGCTGGAGTTGCACGTTCTGTGCCTCCTTCTGTTGAACCGTTTGGCTCAACAATCCTCCTTGTTGGATCGTCTTCATGAGATTTTGGTGACTCTCATAAAGAAGATTGCAGCCGTTCAGCAGGCGGTTGATTTCGTCCTGCAGGTTGGCCAAGTCTTCGGTGAGACGCTCGTTTTCCCTCTGTAGGCGGTCCGCCTCAGAGTCGGTATCGTCAATGGTTGTCCGGGCCGCAGTCAAGTCATCCTTGGCTTTGGCCAGCTTAGTCCTCGTAGAGGTGAGCAAAGCTTCGAGTCCCGCCACAGCCATTTCTAGGCTGTGGATTGTCCTGTTGAGCTGGTCTCGCTCAGCGTTTGGACATGGTGACAACTTGAGCTGGGTTAGCTCAAGTTGGGTCTGGGCCAGTATGGCCGAGACACGTTTAGCCTCTGCGTCCGTTTGGACCGCAAGGTCTTTGTGTCGGCAGATCTCATCCTGCATCCAACGTTCGGATAGCAGGGCCGCTTCTGCCATGTCCGCCAGCTGTTTAGTCAGGTCCCTTACTGTGGTCCTGAGTTGGTCGACTTCGTCGATTTCTTCGAGCCGGGTTGCCTGGTTCAGCTTTGGCGGAATGACGTTTTGGCGCGGGTTGTGTCCCAGGAGGGCTGGTTAAGGTCCATCCTGGCTGTGGCCCTGTTAAGTTGGGCCAGGTCCACAATTGGCTCTCCGTCCGGTTTGGACGGGCCAGACGCGCCGATGACGTCATTGGTTGGCGATGGCGTTACGGGGGTTGAGCCATCGACTTCGAACATAATGAGCGACTGACTCATGGGCTGTTGGCCCTGGTCATGTGCATTTGGGCCAGCCTTTTTGGCTTGGCCCTTTGCCTTGCGTCCACCTTTGGCCGCCGTTGGTGCCTCAGGTTGGATCTGGTCCAAGCCCGGTAGGACTGGACGTGCTGTCAGATCCTGGACGTCAAGGTTGGACCGGGCCAACTTGTTTGGCCCTGGTCCGTCTGTGTGTGTCTTGTCCTCACTTGTGGCCGCCGTCGGCGCCGCAAGTTGGACTTGGCCCGGACCAGGTATGGCCGGTTGATGCGCCAAGTCCCGAGGGACACTGTTGGCCTGGGCCGTCCTATCGGCGCCAGGTTGGCTGTCCAGAGGCTGGTTGGCCTCGGACAGTCCGTCGGATGCCTCCTGGAATGTGTCGTCCCGGGTGGCGTCCAGACTTTCATCACTTGTCTTCAAGTCGGCCGGCAGGATTTGTCTGTCCCGCCTGGCTTTGGCCTCGACCGAACTCGTTGAGCCGGCCGAGTTTGGCTCGTCTGGTTCAGAACCGCTCTGTTTGGCCCTGCGGAAACCGTATGTTCCCGGTGGGTCGCGTGTGGCATAGTTCTTCCCCAGTTGCTTCTTGTATTCATTTGGCTGGCGCCCGTCCATTGGACTGAGCAATCTCCGTTGGAGTTGCTCATGGCTGGTGTATGGCATCACCTTGGCCAAGGCGCTTTCAATTTGGCCCATGGTATTGGGACTTAGAAAAATCTTGGTCTTGGTCCGGACCGGAACGGTGGGTTGGCTGTCGCTGGTTGGTGCTGTTCAGGTGTGCTAGAGCTTAGGATCAGCGTTAGCTCCCTATGGCCCTAGTTTACATTACTGACCAGTGTGACGTCACGTACGAAATGGTCTTGCAATTAGCTCTACGTCACAAGTAGCGTGCCGTGAGCAAAATTTAAAAAACAATATGAGTCACTACGAGAGTTATAACACGGGGAAGTTTCCCACGTGTTCTGATTGGTCGAATTTTTATGGAAAATCACCACAGTGACGTCACGCGACTTTTCGCAAAATTTTCCGGCTGGACAAAATGGCGGTTGTTTTTCGCCGATAATTCATCAAAAGTCAAAGAAAATTTTCTCGAGAGTTCTGTTCTAATTTTCTAGGACAGAATTTTACGAGGAATCCAAAAATGCCAATTTTAAGCAAATCGGATGAAAGGTTCAAAAGTTATAGGATTTTAAAGTACGGGTTCTTCCGAAAACTTCGAAATTTTCAAAGTTCTACGAAAGCCCTACGACGCCACAGCAGGTCTTACCGGTCGTTTTTCGATCCAAACTGCTGCTCCGTCGTTCCACTTCACCCTCTTCTTCCGTGAGGGCCGCAGCGCACCCGATAGGGCGTAATGGAGTTACAGGACCGTACCGAACGCAGTTTTTGCGCCGGGAGCCAAAGCTGCGGGAGGCCTACTTTTAGGCGCTGACCCGTATCAACGCGACCCGGTAGGGTGCTTAATTGGTAAACAGCGACGTACCCAACGCAGTTTTTGCGCGGGGAGCCAAAGCTGCGGGGGACCTACTTATAGGCGCCGACCCGTATGAATAATCCGTCGCGCTGCAGACTTCCAGTGAAGTCTGTATGATGCCGGAAATGATGGTCGCGGGATTGCTGGCCTACTTATAGGCGATCAGCGTAGTTCGACCGTGTTGCCTTCACTGGGGATCAGAGGTCTCGTCGGAAAGAAAACCGAACGATGCTGCTACCATGTCAGATATGACACAGAAGCAGATGGAAAATGGGGCAAATAGCCTTTATTGTGATAACAATAAAGCAACAACAACACAAAACCAACAGAAAACCCGATGTGGGAAAAGCTGTGGAAAAAGTGCCTGCAGTGCGCTATCAAGGAATCGTGATAATGATTCCGCGTGCTGCGGGTATGCAACAGCTGATGCTGCAAAGCATGGAATCGCCCGTAGGCACAGGGCTCCGCCCCCAAGAGTGCAGAGAAATGCGCTGATTGGTCAGCGTAGACAAAGTATACGCTGAGTAAGCAGCGTAATAGCGCGGCACGAACGGCGTTGCCGTGTGCGGGCGGGCGACAGAGAAAGCAACAAGAGGTGTCTACCGCCTCGAGTGAGCGGTCTCTGACAACTGTACGGTTATTTACACCATGAAGACCGCTTTGCAACGTAAATCAGTGTATTCAAAACCTTGGGTTTGGTCCGGGTAGTGTGAGCTTACACGGGAACGCTTTCTGCAAAAGTCTAGAAATTTTTCATCGTAAAAACTTTGCAAACTGAAACATTATGGACTTGGTCACTTTCAAGACGCGAAGGGCTCGGTTCTTAATAATATAGCTTGAATTTTAGTAACAGGAACTGTGCTGCTTGTTTACCGTAGCCTCCAAAAAGCGAGTAAAAACAAAAATAAATCTATAAATTTAATATGAATTTTTATTTTACATCTTAATTTTTTAAGTAGTGTCATCATTTTGATAACGATAAGTTCTCCGGTAACTATCTTACCGGGAATTAGCTTCCTATAAATCTGTAGCCCTGAAACTCTCGTGGCAAGATGATCAAAACACTCACAACGGGAAAAATAGCAACTGTTAAACAACTATGCGAAAATGCGTTGGTATCTGTATCATCGACAAATTAATGTCTATGTCATCGACAAATGGTATCTGTATTATCGACAATGCACACAATTAACGCACAAATGTCTTGAATAACGCTGATCGGCCAATGAAGCTGGTATGTACACGAGTAAAAACGCTGTTGGATCCTTCTTGTGTAATTTTGTTTTCGCGCTATTCCACGAGCATTCCAACCAGCGTCAAGATAATCCAGGTAAATTGCATGAAGAGGCTCACTGCCAGCGTTATAATCGCTACTACAGCCAACATTCTGGCCATCAGCTTGATTTTCTCCCAGCCTTCGCACCGGTCCATGGCCTCCATGAAGTCGTTGCACATTTGCACGAGGCAAATCACCAGGCCGACCACCCCGACCACCAACGCAGTTGTGGTAGGCCAAGGGTATAGCCTCCAGAGCCCGTGCAAGCCGGGGAGGGCTGATATGTACCATGGCTCCCTCCAACATCGCGGGCCGCGGTTGGGTGGTGTTGGACTGTTGCCAATCATGAGGCGTGACGGAGGAAGGTTAGGGTACTCCTTGGTGTCGAGAATCCGAAGCAGATGTGCCATTTCCCTGCCAAATTGCCGGACACGATAGCTGTGAAAGGATTATGATGAGCATAAATCGAAGCCAAGTGAATTTTACCAATTTTTAAGGGAGGGGTGCTTCTCTACAAGTACATAGCACTACTTTCGAATGCGCACATCGGGGAACTTCCGCGCATTTCCAAGTACTTTCTCCATTGATTTATGACATTTTATAACTAATCGACGGTCAGAGGCTCCCTCCTCAGATTAATTTTTTTGTTCGAAAATAGAGTAGGCAATAGGCAGTGAGAGTACTGTAATTAAAAATTAGTTTATCCGCAAGGTCCAGTGGGCCTGAGACCAGCAAGAATTTAGAGGATGGCGTATATATCGGCAATGATATTAACTCGCCACTCGTACTTTGCAAGTCAAAATACATTTTTCAAGATGAGGATCGTTAACGTTCGTTATGCGGAAGTTATGAACCAAGGTTGTACCTGATCAGTTGGGCGCACACCGATAACCGCTCCATCTTAAGTTCGGTTGGGATTAACTTTCCGCACATGTTAGGTGGGTCAGTACTTGCAAACCTGTCAGCCCATCCCCAGGAAGTTCGCCGCGTACCACCACGACAAGGACCACAGCCAAGGGAATCACAAGATCGATACGCTGTGCCTTCATTGTGGAATGTGGACCACTCATCGGTGATAGTTCTAAAAACAACACGGATATAGTAGTTTATGTAAATACCGTGATTATCGAATTTGTGGCTCCCCCCGCAATAAGAGCCCCCCCTGTAATAAGCCCCCCTCCCCGACCCTGTTTGAAAAATACAGCCACCCCCCGAAATTACGCCCCAGGGGGCCGTTATTAAATGTCAAGCGCTGCAAAATGATTGGTATACCGCAAATGCTTTTTAAAAATTGTTGTGCTTATGAGCAAACATTAAACGCACATCAATATAATGCGGTATTCGTTGGCAAAAAGGTGTACAGGGACCTCAGTATACGCTCGAAAATGTTGCAGGGAAGGTTGCGCTGTTGCGTATACCGGTAACTACTGTTCAGGTCCACTAGAACTGGATGCGAAGTTGTTTGAAATATAATGCCCCCTCCCAAAAAATACCGTTCGAAAAATAATGCCACCACCCGAAATTGCGCCCCTCCCCGAAATAAGCCCCCCTCCGCCATAGCCTTCGAACTATTTGTACCCCAGGGCCACAAATTCGATAATTACGGTAAGCAGTGCGACAATGCAAAGCGGGGTTAAGTTTAAGTTTAAGTTTAATGGTTTAACGTCCGCACACATTCAGGGAAAAATCCCAATTCGGGGCAGCAGACACTCACAACAACAACAATTCTCCAGAATACACAGTATTTCAGATCAAGCTTTAAACAATAATACAGCAGCTTTTTAAACAAGAATACTGCAGCGTATTTAAACACACAACTCAGTATACCCACTCCCTTACAAACACATTTGTAGGCCAAATCTCAGGTTCCAAAATTTTTTTCGCCATGTCTTTAAACGTACCGATGCGGGCAAACGTGGAAGATCGTCTATCTCCACGAGCAGGAACGTACACACTCACAAATCTTGTAGGAATCCCTACATCTTCCAGCTGTTTGGCAATGAACGCATTATAGTCCTTAACACTGTCAAACTTCGAATCCTCAACCCGTGGTATACCTCTCACACAAAAGTCCGCATGGGGCTGGTGCTTGGCTTGTAGTGTTTCTGTCAGTTCTCTCGAGGGTCCCTCACTCGTTCCAGTACGCGTGCCACGCACAACCTTCGGTGCCTTCTTGATAACTGAAGCGTAAGACTGTGATTTCATCGCCAGTGTAGGATGGTTCGTGGATGTGGTAGGGTTCTTCGATTGTGACTGGGCAAGCTGTTTCGCAGGGACAATCCTCTTTGGGCTCCAGACTTTACCCGCCTGTTTCAAGCCAGGAATGTCTTCCGAATAGTTTGTCACTCCAAAATGTTCGTCCACAGTTTTCACATAATCAGGGTCTTCCTTCATGTAATCATCCATCCCATTCCACTGGTGACCAACTGCACACTCAACCAGAAACACTCTTTCACAGAGCTCCTCCACAGTTTTATCAATCGATTCCACATTAACCAGGGACGGAGGTGCATCAGGGGTGTGATGAGCTACAGAAGAAGACGACACATCGACGTGCTGAGCCAACTGCTCTGTTAGGGTCTTGTTGAGGGCCGTCAGCTGCTCCACTTTCTCATTCAGGATTTCCACAAAGCTAACCAACGTTTTAAACTGAGGTATGAATTTTGTCCAAACTGAGGTTGATGGTGGAGAAGAATTCTCAAAATGCTATGACAAGCCTAAACAGCAACAAACGGCAGTACCAACGCCCGTCTGCTGGTACGAGGTTGATTTCTGCAATGACAGAACCAGAATGTTGACAAATACCTCAGCTTGACCCATAATGTTGACAAATACCTCAGCTTTCGCGACTGCTTTCTTCTAAGAATTAGGCTGAGTTAAATGTTTAGTCAGTCCTTAATCTAACCCGTGTCATATACTCGTACATCCATGTCTACATGCCAGCAGACGCCAGCGGAATGAGTATTCCTAAATGTGCGGAGACTGTACATATGGATCGATAAAATTTTACACTCATGAAGTCGTGGCTGTTTCTGGAAGGTACAACGCTCACATACAGCAGCCAAGATTGTGCCACAATTATACAGTTCGATACAATTAATAAGCAATCCCTTATTGTAGGGCAAATTACGAGAATGTTCACGTGAAACCCCATCGTAAGTATGGCGTCTATGGTGCGCGGGTGTGCAAGGGAGTTCAAACTCATAGCACCCAGAGTAATTTTCCGTTATTTAATCTCGCGGCACTTCTGTCTGCAATACCCGTAAACAGCCAGTGCACGTTTATTCCGGAAACTGGAAAGGATCGTCTTATAATTTAGTGTACTGTATGCGCTTTATTTACATTACATGTGTCCTCTTATACGCTATTGTTTGACACTTCGAATTCTTCGAATGCCATAAAAGGCACACCGACAACTGGCTGACCGACATCTTGCTGACCGGCAACTTTCTGACGACTATTTGCTGACCGACAAAATGTTTACCCGACAATTTGTTGAAACAACAAATCGTTGAACGACATTTTGCTGAAGGACAGTCTGCTAACACCGACGATTTGCTGACGACATTTTGTTGACTGACAGAATGTTTACCCGACAACTTGCTTACTGACTAAACTGTTGACCGACATTTTACTGACCGACGTTTTGTGGAAATACCGACAACTCGCTGACCTCAAATTCATTCTTTTATCCTTGTATATTATACAAGAATTTTATGGTTAAAAGAATAATTTTGTGGTCAGCGAGTGTTCCACAATGTGGAACACACATAAACAAAACACACCAGTCGGATTAAAATGTGTCATTAAAATAGACGTTACAGATGCAATACAAAAATGATATCACTACTGAGTACTGACACAGCTGTTATCTTCATACTATTATTCATCTACTCTCTAATATCATCACATACCCTATTCGGCATTTTTTTGGAGGCTTTCCGGTTTGCAGTTCATTAATGGCGACTTCCTGCAGTGCTTGCTCATTCCGCAAGGCACGAATAAAGTCATGCATAACAGGACGCGTTTTGTGAAATATAAGTACTGCTGGGTTGTAGGTACTGACCCTGGTCATTTAGCGAAAAATAATACTGTCACTGAGCCAAATGCGCAGACCGAGCGCTCTCTTCCAGATATGTATTTGTTGCCAGGATGTGCAAGCAGCAGGATGCTTTTGTGCGTATGCGCCGTAAGAAGATCTGTTCTCGTAAGCATAGCAAAAACGATAATACAAGGTTTACACTATTTTGATTTGATACAGATACGCCGCAGACCAAATACCACCGGTATGATTATGAATATAATATTATTAAGAATTATTTATTAATTAATATTAAGTGAGATATGAACATATTGGCTAACTTAATGTGACGTAATAAATAACAGAAAATTATATTTCGGTTATAACTGTCACAATATTGCTAATGTGTGTTGAACTGGTCAGCAAAATGGTCGGTCAGCAAGTTTTCATCTTCTACAAGTTGTCGGTCAGCGAGTTGTCGATTACCGACATTTACGCTGACCGACAAGTAAGCTGTCGTTCAGCAAATTGGTTTCAGCAAGATGTCGCTCAGCCAGTTTGTAGAAAAGCGAACTGTCGGTCAGCAATTTGTCGGTCAACAAAATGAAGGTCATAGAGTTGTCGTGATACCCCCCGGGCACTACGAAACTAACGAAAGTACGGTAACTAACTTTCCACGAATTACGATGCACCTGTTTTGCATTAATTTTAAGAGTAAAGCAATGACGCTTGACAATTAGCCACTACACGTTCTACTGACCATTACAAACCGGAGCATTTCGAAAACGGAAATTTGTATCTGAAAAACAGGTGCACGTACAACAGGAGCGTGATGCACACGGTGTCGATTGATCTGATTAACAGCATCCGATAGCCGTATTGATTGGTTATTATACATGGTAGCGGAGCTGCAGCATACGTTATGCATAACTATGGCATCGACTGGGCTACTGTAATTGAAGGCGGCGAGCTCCGCTGGCAGACGTGTTATAATATCCTACCAGTGCTCCACGGATCTACTCTAATACTTTGGTTCTTTCCTGTGATATTGCTGCAGGAAACATTGCTCTTTTTCGGTACTTCAAGTATTATTTTTCGCTGCTGCCCGCTTCAGCGCTCTGCGGTATTTACCAGCTGTTCTCAGATGTGTGGAATATGGAGCTACTTATCGTTTGGGGAAAGGTTGTCGTTCCTTTAGCGTTTGGAATACTGGCCATAGGATTCTGTACAGCCACCGCACCAGCATCCGGCGAGCCGCTACCTCCTCTGCTCTGTGGCCAATTGGATCCTTCTGCGTCCACCGTTGAACAATTCCAGATGTTGTCAGATTGCGTCATGACTATCGGGTAACCGCTGAGCAGAATATTTCTCTTGATGCTTATAACAGGAAAGCTTTTGCTCGACCTTACACAACCCGCATATTTTCAATTTAAGTGCTGCATTTATTTATTACTGTAACAAAGATAATTCTATTAGGTTACACTGAACAAAATTTATTCATTTTATGGATTTTAATAAAAGCGTGATTCAAGCATCCATTCTTTTATCAAACGACTACAGATCTGTAATATTAATATGGACACCACTTCATTGTAAGAATTCGGTTGAAAAGGAGATACACATAATTCGTGCTGACTTACTCCATCCAGTGCTGGCAGCTTATGTGCATTTTTCTGTTCCACGATGTTTCCTGACTTTTTAATATAATAATTTAGTAGCTTGATTCGTCCACGGAAATCCCGCTTTAACAAGCTTACGAGAAACCGCAAAATTAGAAGTCCAGCTCCCAGTAGCATCACAAAAACGACAAAAACTCCCGTGATGCTGGCGCAAAACGGGTGACGTTGGGCCAGCCGCAAGAAGCTGTACGTGGTGCTTTGAAGCCACGAGGTTTCGCTTTCACTGGGACCCGGCTCGCAGTCAACGGGATCTGGTTCGTTGTCGCCGAGAAACGATTCGCAGTCATCGGTAGCCGGCTGGTGTTGAGCGGTGCGGGCCGTTGGCAGTGGTGGGCGGATGGTGGTGGAAGTAGTGATGCTGCAGGTCGGAGGTTTATCGAGATGAACCATGTCAGTTAGCCGCTGGACGCTTTTGCTAAACAACAGACACATAATGTGATACAGGTTGGCAGCTCGCCTAAATGTCATGTTAGGACTAAGAAAGCGAATATCTTGCGCGCCGTTTCTCAGCTAATAAATTAAATAAATCATACCACATTATAAAATCAAAAATAATTAATAAAATGGGAAGCAAATAAAATATAATAAAATCCAGCTACGCTGTCCTGGTCCTGCTGCTCGGTTCTTTGGCGATTGACAGTCTTTTCCAGTCTCTCTGCTAATTCTCGCGGGACCGATGTCCTTAAACTTTGGGCTATGTTTATTTCCTACTTTACTGTTCAGTCAAACTAAAAATATGCATGCTCATCATATGTAAGAATTACTGCTATTAAATATTATTGAATCGTTCTTAAAGCGTGATTCTAGTTTTTACCATTTGATAATAACCTTTCTTGAAGCAATTTATGGAGTATAATTTTCTTAAGATGGCTAGATTCATTCGACGTAGGCGCAGTTTTATATTGCTGTAATAATTTCCATGTACCAAAAAGACTGCATTATTTACTGGATACATTAAAAGTTTAAAGAAATTCTAATGCATCGATATGTCTGATATAAAATCAAGCTTTCAGTTAGTCAATAACTCAATGATGTCGAAGTCCCCTTTCTGTCATTACTAAAAACCTGAGTTCAGTTACCAACCGAAATCGTAATATTATTGGAAGATAATCCAAACTGACACTATTACAAAGGCGAAGTCAAGTCATCATAACTTTCATTTTTCCTCAAAACCGGTGAAAACTCTGATAAAAAGCAGAATTATTTTAGAGGGAGGAATATTCTCACTAAGCATCATGCCTTTAAAAAGTGATTTTTCTACTGTACATTGCCTCAATCACGACTGCCGAGACCGTAATAACCTGTCGTATCGATTTGTTAGAGTATAAAATAATGCTTATGGTTAGGATGTGTACGTACACAATTATATCATGCGGTGTGCTGTAACTATGTAGGTAATAGCATGCTTTAGTTAGTCAAGGCGGCGAGCTGAGAGTGGTAGTTGTGTAATATTAAAATCCTGGGTCGGAACTACTCCAGAACCCTCGTTGATTTATATGTTGAAGTGATGCACGATTAATCAGTGTGCGTTTGCGGTATTAGTTTCCAACATCTCCAGATTTGAATTCTGATCAAACGAACCCTGTTTTTTACTGGTATTTCGAGGCCGTGTAGAGTTATGGAGCAAATTGTCCCTGGTGGGAAGGTTTTCTTCCCGTTTGCGTTAGGAATGCTGCTGGTAAATGGACTGTGCACAGCCACCGCACCTGCATCCAGGGTGTCGTTGGTTCCTCCGTTGGGTGGCCCGTTAGATCCGTCCGCGTCCGCGGCTGAACAGATTCAAATGTTGGCTGACTGCGTTGTAACCATCAGGTACTAGAACACTGATAAACGACCAGCTTCTCTGCTTGTAAAGTAGAAATGTTTTGGCTTAACTCTATGCAAAAAGGATTCAATAATAATTCTTGCCAAATACGAGTACTGCAAAAATTTAAAAAAGCATTCTGGCACTTGCAAATTAATTTCAAGTTTCAACGCCGCATGGAGAAATGGTGCGTGCAGTAATTGTTTCCAGATAATCCGGAAGTAAGTTATTCTTTATTAATACAACATACTATTTAGGGGCGTCCCCATGTCAGGCAAATTATTGATCTAAAATGCATATTTTGCACATCCTACTGCAATTGTTGTGGGTATTGATTAGCGACAACTACCGCCGGCTGACTGATGCGAACCATCGGGATACTACGGCTTCGGTACGCAGCACCGCTCCTATCCTGAACGCTTCATCCACGCCGTCTGCCGCCTGTCCCGCTATCCACCCCCCACCGACGAAACCTCGACCCGCTCAACACCAGTCGAATCCAGTCCGGCGCAACGAACTCACGTGGCACCACGTCCTGCAAAGCCTCGAACGGTCATTTGAACGTCAGCCGGTTTGCACTACCATCTTTGTCCTTTTCGCCATCTACACATTGTATCTGGCCAGGATGTGAGCATCATCTTAATCGTCAACGACGTCTGTGGGCGCGTTATGCTAAACAGAGCCGCTTTTTATTGGACCTTGTCTGTGTTATGTGTGTCGTTGAGTCTTTTTAGCCTCTCTTGGGATATTCGCTGGATTGGTGTACTAACGCTTGCAGACTTTTATCTGGCTTTCTTGCCGCTTAACCGGCTTAATATCTATTCGTGAGATTACAGCCCTGTACGGCTTCTCTTGATGTAAAAAAATAACTGTAATCGGTATGGGAAGAATAAGTTCTCTGCTACTTCTGTGGTCCGATATGCGTGGACACACTCGATTTTTGAGTATCTGGTTCGTGTATTCGTACCGGCATACATTGTTCATAAGGGCAGTTAGGCCAATATAGAGTAAATCGCTTCATTCGCTTAAGCCTGACCTTAAAATGGGCGTTGGGTACCTGAGAACTCCATTACAGCCAGGCGAAGAAAAAACAGTTACTACGAAATTAAATTTAAGAAGATTGGATAACAACGTCTTTTCAAAATCTCAGTTCAGGTCGCCATATCTCAGCAACCGAATGCTGAGCTCTCCAGCCAACGTAAAGCAATCAATTCAACTTTGCATTGGCACTGCACGGTAGATAAAGTGTTGAGGAGTGCGTGCAACCGGAAGTGAAATTGACACCCTGTACCTGTGTACCCGGCCGCTTGCCTTCAAAATAGGGCCGAAGTATTGATTGGCTTATTTGGTGGTTGCTGTGACTGGATGTTACAGTAGCTAGAGAGTGCGAAGCACACATCTATCATATAAATGTAAGGCGTATCCACAACAACGACTTGAGTTATCGAAAGACACGAGATTCAATGCCTATGATGGTATGAATTACATGCTGCTGCGGAACAATTGTAAATTCCGTTGATTGCTGTATAATTTCTGTAATTGTACAGTTGACGACGCTGAGTCTCTGCAGTAACTCGATATACTGTCTCCTGATTAGTACCATCACGTTACCAGCTGCATTAGTTACCAGCGGCTGAATATTTTGGCCGTATTGAGTATGGACTTACAGATACTTGTCGTACACCGAAAGAAGGTTCTTCCGCTGGCGTTGGGAGTACTGCTGGCCATGGTATACCCAAAATTTGCCAAGTCATCACGCAAAGAACAGCCAGCTTCATTGTGCAGCGTGCTGGACACGTCCGCTTCCGCCGCTGAGCAGATTCATCTTTTGGCTGACTGTCTTCGTACCATCAGGTAATGGCGTTGATTCGGTATTTATGGTAAAACATCGCTCTCATATTCATCTATCGCACACAGCGACAGATGGTTACAGTGTATGCTGCAAGCTTAAATTATTTATTTATTATTTTTTTTGTAATCTTAAGGTCCACCGCAGCTGTTTGTTTTAAAAAAATATCATTTTGACCAGAATTCTCCAAATGTTTCGTTGCTGTTGGCACAAAATGATATTTAGGTTGTTTCCACATTCGATTCGTAGAAATATTGCTCACTCCAAGGAATTAGGCATGCCGCATGTAGGTAGAAAGTGTTATTACAAAATAGCATGTTTCTGAACTTAGTAAAAATTGCGGTGGCGAAAGTAAATAGCAACGTTTTCTCCCGCCTCTGCGCATGGATGAGCATGAAAACCGAAAAAACGGGAAGGTAATAAACACGGAGTAAATGGCGCGCAGGTAAAGCGCGCAAACGGTAGTGCACACAGCGAATGGTAGCGCAGAAGTTTGTGAACGGAGTGGTCACCATAATTTTTTTGTGGATTATCGTAACTACATATTTTGGGTTCCAGCGCGAACGCCCGGCATACGGAGGACATCGGCCAGCGCGACACAGCATCTCCGCCTTCCTCGCAGACCACCTCCGTCAGTCCCACGTCGACCCGCGGTAAGCGCGAAATCCCCTGGCTGTGGCGCCACTATCCCGACATCATCCGAGCGGCCTATCGCCACCCGAACTATCTCACCGCGATATGCATCATCATCAACCTGCTGATAAGAAAGGCTATTCTCCTGCCGCTGCACTTCTGCCTCGACGCTGAGAGCCAGCGCAGTACACGCGGGAGCTGCCTGTTTCTTCTAGGTTCTATAATAGGTCATGTGTGTGGTCAATGGGTCAACGATCGCATTTTTGAGGCGCTGGGAGCCTAAACTGCTGGCAAATTCGTTGACCTTTATTTAGCTTTCCGACACTTGGCTTTCCTGTGACGTTGTTAACTTGTGGGTCGACGACAAATCAAACTGCTTTTTCGGTGATTTTTTAATGTCTCTTGATGGTTTTTTTAGTGCTTCTTAGGTAATTTGGTTTCTATATTTAGCAGACCAATGTTTAGACGCTGCCGATTATTGATCGTTCTATAAGCTCGCGGGCCCTTTTCGTTCGTCAGCAATATAAATACTATCACCACTTGGACAAATCGCTCGTACGTTCCAAATGACCAACACAGAACAGAGAAAAGGCCGGTATAGTCCGGATTTATCACCGAGCGTCTGGCGGAGCATCCGGACATCTTTCTATGCAATAAACTGATTAAGCTAGCAATTTTTAATGTTTTAAGCAGTTCATGCAATATTCTGTTATAGAAAGTTAGAAATTGTACTGGTAGTGTACGAGGAGGGAACAAGCATCTTCGGTAGCGCGCTCGATTAGTCAAGATACTTTGAACACTCGTGTGGCTGGAAATCTGGCTTAATAGTCAACCGCGGAAGGCTGGCAATCCACGTTTAACTTGCAACTGTCAATCAGGGCACCCATCCACGGTTGACGGCGAGGTGCACGCAGATGGGCAACATTCCACGGTTGGCTGTTAAGTTAATCATGCTGTTGGCACACTTGACGCAAAGTGTTCAAAGAGTCTTGACTTTCGAATGCGCTACCGAAGATGCTTGGTCCCTCCTCGTACTGGTATTTATCATACACCGTTTAAAATTCATTTAAGTAAATTGGTGACGTAGCGCTAACAGTTAGCGTTGGCCGCTGCCGCTAGAGCGTAATTCCTGAATGGGCAGCTGCAGTTGTTCCGGCAAAATGAAATTTGATATTTGTATGGTTTTGCGTCATTTGCTTCCTAGTAACTTCCAGTGCTAATAAGCCGCTCGATACATCGTCTGATAAGCACTAAACGTAACATTTTTACAGCCATATGTTACACAGAGCAGGTTCATTTGTGACAACTTCAGCGTTCAAAACGAACACTTATGTAGAACTGCATCACTTGTTAGAATTCAAGATACTTAAATCGGATGAACTGACGTTGTCTGTTACCGGGTAGGATAGAGGAACACGGAAATTTGGCCAACGGTGTAAGCATTTTCCGGCGTGCAGTGGAATGCACATTCTTAGTACTTGTACTTGTTTTAACATGTGGTTGTAAAAATCGTTTCTTGTGCGGGCCAGTTCGAAGAAAATCGTGTGGTGGAAAGACTGGAAGGCGATGTGGCATTCCAAAAATTTTTCGAGTGCCGTAAATTAAAACTCATGGCTGCATTGAAGGCGGATCGGGAAAAGTACGATCTTTTATCGAGTGCAGCCAAAACACGCGCACAAACCAGCCAAAAATAACCGAACTTTCATCGGCACACTTCGAATGCCGACTAGTAAAAACGCCGAATACTAAAGCGTACGCATAAATTTACCAACTAAACTACATCGGAGGTTGGAGTATGGCTCATAGAAGAGGCCAACCAGACAAGTACATACACCGCGTTTGTTTCGTTTTTCGCATGGCTCGTTCGTTATAAACTTAGACCTGTTTGATTTAGTGATTTAAGGACTGCGAGAGCAACAAGTACTGAAAGGTGTACTCGATCGTGGCGTAACACCGGAAGTAGGCGTGCCGCTTCTCCGCCTCCTTAATAACTTGTGTTATGTGACTTATGTTAGCCGCAGATGCCATCGTGCTTATAATATTTCGGCAGCGGTTAAGCATATTTAATCCGACTATCTCGGGTGTTTGAATATTTTGACATTCACTTACGTCGCTGGAAGAATTGCAGCATATGCGATAATCATCCCCGAAGTTGCTGCGCGATTTCTTGTTGCTACGGTTCGTATTACAGATACTTTTGCGTTACTCGTTGACTAGTTTCATCATTTTACGCTTTTCGTTACTTACCGATTTCCAAATAGGTCGGTTGTGTCACGTGTGGAATACATTATGGAGGAGCTACTGGGCGTTCATGGGAAGACGGTCCTTCAGCTGACGTTGGGAATCCTACTAGTCATCGGAGTCGCTGCAACGGCCCCGACACCAACTGACGAACAACTGGCGCTGTTATGCACCCCATGGAATCGCTCCGCACCCACTTCCGAGCAGATTCAGGCGTTGGCGGACTGCGTTATGGGCATCGGGTGAGCGGTATGATAATTAGTTTTTGCAAATCGTGTCAGAAAACAGCTCACTCAGTCGATCTTTTGTCTCATACAAACCGGAATACACTACAGCCTTCATAAGTTGCTAATTGCTTTAGGAATCATTTATTAGCCATAAGCCAACCATACGAAGGAAATAAAAGGAAGGTCACGCCACTTATAACCATTACTTTTATAAGGTTAAATTACTAGTAGGTATCTATATAAAAAACCAGTTATACTTTGTTGAATTCCTTTATTTGGGAGTTATATGGAGGAGTTATTGGAATATTCTCCTTCGTTTATTTTTTACACGTTATGTATTATTGTTTCACATAATTATGTATTCTGTCATTTTAAAGTATTTTACTGCAGTAATATGCATTAGATATTTGGCTCCGTATTTCTTCAATTGTTCCGTATTGTCAGTTTAAATATTTAATTTATACTTTATTTATTTTTTCATAATTTGTGTATAAAGTATAACTCGCGGAATTTTGTACTACCTTGACTTTGCAGTATGAACTTCCGCCCACTCGCTGATGCAGCCCAGTCCACCATCTCGATGCCCACCGGGAACGGTAGCAAAATCACCACACTCCAGCCTCCCACGAACACTACCACCGTCTGCCCCCCACCGCGCGGAACTCGCCGACCGACACCGCAGCCCGATGCAGGGCACGTACCGTTGTTTCAGCGCCTCATTAAAGGCCTCGTCAATGCGACCAACTATCATCCCTTTTTCACCTTCGCCATTATCTTCACCATCCTTGGCCTGTTTATGCTGTGTATTGCGCCTTTGTCGATGTGTTTCATCAAGATCCTGGTCAAGCGCAGTGTACGTGACCGCATCCTGATGGTTGGTGGCCTGATAGTAGGTATTCTGGTTGGCGCTTTTGCCCTCGACAGCCTGCTGCAGTCACTGTACTGACCATCCAGTTGCCCCGATTTAACTACAACCTTTTCAACCACAGCAATTTCTACGCTTTTAAGGATAGAAATACCGTGGATTAATTAAGTTTTGTGTGGCAATATTTATTATCGCTAGAAATATTCACGCCATATATGATGATTTAAACCATCGGCTTAATTGACTGCCTTAGCCTTTATTTTCGATAAAATTATTCAGTTTTTAAGAAATGTTAATTAATCATGCTGCTTTGAATATGCTTTGGTAAAGTGCGGCAAAATGCTGTCATTTTTCTGGGTGGTATGCACATGTTCATTATAGCACCTAAAACTTCTCGCCAAAGTTGGAACTTGCAACCGTGCTGTGCTGAGAATGTGAGCTGATGCATGGCGCATAATGATTTATTTTCGTGCATGGGAAAATCTTGTAATGGCGAACTTGTGCAACACCGTACAGCATAGTTACTCAGAATTACGAAAATAGCGCTGATCAGTTCTGTGCGGTTCGTAATTTCGAGACGTTTGCGTCTAATCATTAACTAATGCGCACCGTGAAACTAAGTTATGCATTCCCAATGAAACTGAGTTAGAAAAGAATGCAGTATAACCCTGATTTGCATAGATAAGCCAGGCACAATCAAAGGCGGTAAAATGCGTTCAAGTGGTGATGTCAACAAGAATAGCAGCAGCAAACCTCTCCAAAACTAACCGAATGGCACTATCATGACGTTGACGGCTTTTCCGCTTTTCAAAAATTTTCCGTTTTATTTGAGCGTATTGTTAACTTGTTGCGTTTGTGAGTGTCGCACTCGTAAATATGTACTCACATACAGAATCAGAAGTCGCTGCTTCAAATAGTAGAATAAGGCCTTCTCACTGTTCTTGAAATTCCCTGCCGACGGAAGTATTTTCGGAGCAGTAATTGAACGCGTTAACTTTCACTAAACAAAATGATAAATTATTACACACTCAAGTGGTAACCACACCGTGGCTTGTCTAGAACAAGCTCTAATTATTTGATGGTGTCGAACATCTTACCAGTCAACTAACACAAAATAAAATAACCGACCTTTTTTTATTTTATTTTTTTTAAATCGCCAGCACTTTTGATAAGTATTACATACGAGTACATACTGAGTACTAAAACAAAATTTTAAATAATCTCACTAACAAAGAAGACGGCGTTCTCCAGTTGCATCCCTTAACCGTGCCTCAGTTCGCGTTCCTTCCACGCTGCGCCAGCAGAACTAAACGTGTCAAAAATTAAGAGAACAACAAGTGTTAACTTTAAAAATAAGCGTATTTCCGGCGCTTCTCGTCCCGCGCCTTCCTGGCTGCTCCTCCGGAATTGGTGCTGCTGTTGATGACGTAAAACAACGCGAACGCATGTTACGTGTTGAAACAGTGGGGCGTGGCGCGCCGTAGTATGAAGACTGGCGTAACACGGGAATTTGTACAATTCGCTGTATTTTATCGTGCTCATCATCTGGAACGGCCGATATGTCCGGCCGCAAAATTTGTACTTGTACTCAGGGCAGGTGGAAATCGATTGCTACACGTGCCGTCACCCACACCGCTTACCACGGAAGCAGTACATGCGCAGGGAAGGTACTTTAATCAACAATTACATAGCATACTCGATATGCAGGAAGAGAATTGCCAACACGACTAAATACAGGTTATGGATAAGGTGTTCGAATATATGCCCTTGCAATATCGATCTACAAATAGTTCCATGAAAGACATGAAAGTGGGCCCATTACGATAGCATCTTTCTAGGGTATTATAATTTCGCCTGTGAACTTCCACTATATAATATTTCCGAAGCATAGTTGCATTAGATTTCTCACTTGTCTGTAATACCAACCTTAGGTTCGCATCCAGTGCTTTTCAGAATGAAGACGTTGTTGTACTTCTACTGGGCAATTTTGCCAGCAGTATTTGCGGTGGGTTTACTGCAGGATGGCAGCCAAAAGATCGACACAGCGACCGAGGAAGAACAGCAATGTATGCTTGACCACTTTCATGACGTTTCGAGCGAAGAGGACAAGAAAATCACCTTGCATAAATATCTCCCATTTTTAAGGTATTTTCAAGTTGTATATGCAGCGTACTGCTTATGTAACTCTGAACGACAAAGTATTAAACGTTTTGTTTATGTCAAAGTGCAATACTGCAGGAACGGGGTATGCATGAACATGGACGGTTTTTACAAGACCGCATACAGAATAAATTTGTTTGTAGAATAATATTAAGCGATACTCAAACTGTCTTAAAACGATAGATTCATTGTCGGTCCATGTGTGTTGCCATTGCAATATCTTCTTATAACATAACTTACTCCGTCATTTTTGGCGGTTTAGTTAATGCTACACGTTAATAGGGACACGTCTGAGGCAGAAGCGAAGAGTTCCAATGAACTGAAAAAGTGTGTTAATGATGTGTACATTGTGGAGCAAAGCAAGACACAGGGATCTTCTCGCTCCACACCGGATGCTGCTGCCTCTAAGTATAGCCAAATCTGGAAAGGAAAACGTGGGTTCTGGGACAGAGTGTGGATGGACCTGCGGAAACTGTGCAACAGCGAACCTGTTCTTGGACTGCCAAATGCTCTAGCGGCAGTTGTTTTTATTTTCGGGTCAACGATGGTAGTGTTTGCACTTCTTATGGTTTACTATGATCCTCAGCCAAAGCATATTCTTCTCATGATAATTGTCATGAGTTTCATCGGCGCCATCCCGATGTATCGCATAATGGTACCCATACTGCATACTGCATGCTAAACGGACTGTTATAGACGAGCTTAAAGTTTCTCAAATTTAGATGTAAGGTTTCATTTTACTTGCGTGGGAGAAATGAAGTTGTAAAAAACAATTAGCTTATGCTGCGCACTTGGAGCATTTACCTGGGATGTCTTGCCTGTGTGAATGTACAGTCGACATCTTCTCATTATTATCATTTGCCGAAACGATTTAGATAAACTAATCACAAGCACAAGACGACAATCATTTTCTTATCCTCAGACTGGATAACTGGAAGAGTTGAATAAACCGTGCATTTTTATCCCTGCGGCATGTACATGCTGTACTTCCAGTTGTAGTATTCGTGTGCTATTCATTGTACAAATCTTTGCCCTGTACATTGTAGTGATTGTACTATTCTTGGTATACTGTAGTATGTATTTACAAAGCATGTACATTTTAATCGTGTAAAGGCGGCTGTTTTTAAAAATGAAGTAAATTTTGAAAAACGTCTGGACCGATCAAAAGTCGCTCAGTATATTCCGAAGCAACTGTCTAGCCATTCACAAAGCGTGGCAAACGTTGTGCAACGCCCTCTCAGCGCGGGTGAACTATCTTGAAACCAGAATCATTTAAACGGCGAATCTTGATTGACGTTTCTCCAATTTTCACCACAACACTGCTCTGTAGCCCATCTCGTACAGCTTCACCATTTCTTTCTCCTCTTTACACCGGCCGCACTGCTCCTCGATACCAACGGAGACACGGTCTGTGGCATTCATGCAGTCATTCATCTTGTTCATCACTCTGCCCAGGACAAACTTGGGCCAAGCCCGCAGCCGGTCCCAGGCCTCGCGATGCGGCCCCGTCCAGGAACCGATTTTTGCTCCCGGCTCGTCGATCCACGTCAATCGAAACGGCACGCTGGCTTCTCTACGCGTTACACAGGCGACCTTTTGCAGGCAGTCCACCTTATCGATAACCAACATGAGCGGCGGCATGCAGCACGGATGGACGATTATGCTGACTTTCCCGTCGTTACAGTACGGTCGACCTGTCAAGAAAGACGGGGAAAATTATAATTTTGGCCGTCGATTTTCAGCAAAACTCCCTTAGACGTAATCGCTTTGCCTAGAGGTACGTTTCCTGACTGGAAAAATCGTTTTTAAGTTCTGCGGTATAACAGTAATTTCCGTCTTTTACTTGGACAACTGGCTTGTGCGCCAGTTGAGTTCCGCTTCAACCTTTTCAAGCGCAAGAAAAAAAGTGCAAATAAAGCAGTCGTTCCGCTGATACACGACTGAGTAAATAAAAACACCGGTTAGGGGGCAACAGCTGGAAGACGTTCCACGTCGCCAAAACTGTTATAGAAAAGCAAAGCGCTTAGTGGGACAGTTTTTGAGGTATCTACTTTCCTAGCTGTGCAACGCACGCTTTTTCGAACGTCCAGTGAAATAAATTATCGACCGGAGCATTGCGAAGGTCCTCTATATTCAAGACAAATGCTTTCGTTGATTTCTGTCCTTTACGGAAGGTCGTTACGGAAATGTTTCTGGCGGGTATCTTGCTTTGCTTAAATGTTAACTATGATTGCTAAGAAATTGTTAAGTGCTACTGGTAGAACGTTAAAACTTTTCTGTCACTCGAAAGGGAAAAAGCTGCTACGGCTCCGGTCTATTAAATGACGCCAACGTGCATTTTTTCTAGTACTTCAAGGGATACCTGTTGCAAAAAATATAGTTTTTAAAACTTGAACTCTTTTTTCTGAACGAGAAAAAGAAGTACCTGTCATGGGGGGAGCGGGAAGCCGGCTATAGGCGGGGTCGGTAATCATCCCGTAAATCTGTTCAGACTCATCGACGCTCTCCATCAGGTCCAACATGGTCGTTTCATCGTACAGTGGCTTGCAATTATCCCACACACGTCCCAATGAGAACAGATTGTAATGGCACATACCCAGCTTGTACATGCTCCCGCAGCAAAAACAATCGTTGTCCGGTGCGCACATCGGTCCCGACGACATTGTGGAAGTGAAACATGTCGGTGAGAGCCCGCCGCACTGAATAACATTAAGAATACATGTAAGTAAGCCGGGCTTTTACTGAATTTAATCCGCATTATGGTTCCATCAATACCCATTCGTAATTTGAGGGAAACGGCCAGTTCGTGTACCTGTACCTTCCACGGGATTCCTTCGTTTTCGAGCTCTTAGAGCTTAGAGCTTTTATTTCTGTGTTAGCTCTTTATTTGAAAACCGAGACACACATGTGTCAATTTTTATTTGTATTTTTTTATAGAATGTGAAGTGAAACATAGTACCAAAGGCGGGTACATACACGAGAACGCTCGATTTTAAATCAAAGTTTAATCAAATTTCTAAATTCATTTTAAAAATTTTAAAATGCCAGAATGAAGGTTCCGTGGCAAAGCGATCATTATTCTGTATATTTATGTGTGCGTTTAGCAAAACTGGAAAACTAGCGCTTCGCAGCGATACTGACGTGGCAAACAAAGATTGAAAATTGTAAATTTTCAAAAATACCTAAAGCTATCATAAACTACTTGTTCTGCGAACGAAATCAAAGTAAAAATCATATGGCAACATTAGGCAATAAAAAAAGAAAAAATGTTTGGTAGTAAGGGAAGGCGCAAGGACCCAAGCATGTAAACGCACGGGGTACCAGTGTCGAAGCACACCCGTTATGTTCGTGCAATTATGTTTAACTAACCAGATTCCTTTTGAAAGGTCATCCCGACAAAAACCGCAGCATGTTGGAAATTCTGTAGCATACCTTTCATCCAAGCCAGAGACACATAAGTTGGACTCACCGTGTAATGAATTTGGGACCGAACCAGTTCGCCGGATTGTGAGGGTTCCCGGCCGACTTCGGTCATAGTTGGCCAAGTACACATATCGAACATTACTTTCCCGGTGACTTTCATAAGCATTGCGTCCGGTTGGGTGGGGGAACCGACGCACTGTACAAAAGCAAAAGCGGATGTCATTAGAGGCAAGCAGGCTGCATAGGTTGCGGTCTATGGATTACTACTGACTTCAAAGGCGTAGTGGAGGCGCTCATCAGGGCCAGTAGCAGCTGCAGAGTTATGTAACAGCAAGGAGTGTAAAGCGATAACGGAGGCTACAATACCAGTGGGAGAGCCTGACATTCTCCGATTACAGCCTTTATTAACAAAGATTGTCAGGAATAAAATTATCGTACGATGATGTTGTGGGCATGAAAGCGGCTTCGTATTTAGTTTAAATACTGTGTGAGGTTCAAGCTGGTTTGTCAGGTTGCCGACTAAAAACCGAGTGAGGAACAAACACCAGCATCGCCGACCGTCAGTCTACTGATTATTCAAAGAAACAGTAAAAGAGAGTCATTATTATGAAATGGAATTTTGGTACCTGTTTGAAGTGGCTGACTGCAGCTTTGCCCGTATTCGGCTCATAAGTTCCAGCTTTCGGACCTGGTTTTGCAAAGCGTGGCATTTGATACGTGTGCATATTTCAAGTGGCATCTTGTTATCAACCAGTTTTCATGGAAAGAAACTAGAACTTTAAGTCCATAGTTCAAGTAAACAAACTTTCGAATGGATTCGTTAAGCAGGAAAAAGAGGTGGAAAGCACAGAGATCCCACTGATGGAGATTGTAGGTGTACAGTTTCGACAGCCGCTGGCTCGCTTATTGTGAGCCTGGTACCTTGCAAAGTGGTAAATAATATGGCACTTGAAATGTGCACACGTTTCACATTAAACCCTTTCGCAAAACCAGGCCCAAAAGCTGGAAAATCTTGAGCGAATTCGGGCAAATATGCAGCCGTCCACTCGAAACGGGTACCCACTTGAAACGATACTGCGAGTTCCACGTTGAGCCTGTTTTTTCTTGTCTGGCCGAATAACAGCTAGACGGGCTGCGATGCTTTGCTGACGTGGTATTCAGGCTGACAACCATACTGGTAAATGTCTCGTACATATTTAAGCGAAATAGAAAGTAGAGCTGTGTTAACATTCACCACGTCTTAATGCAATAATTCCATTGCAGAGAGAACCTTTTTTGCGTTATTTAACAATTACCACTACCGCTACAATGTCCACATCTGCAACTATTTCATTAGCCATCGTTATCGCTTTAAATGGCATCGTATTACATAACCGGGCAGCTGATGGGCAGTTCAACTATGTCTTCGAAGTAAGTGGTTACCAAAGGGATAAAGTTTATTTTTGTACCTGGCTGAAAGGTGTACGTAGCTTGGGAATGTATATGCGAGGACACTGTACTGTAACTCATGAAATACGTATCTTATTTTATTTCTATCCTCTTTTCTACAGTGCGTGGACACTTCCACCACAGCTGACGAGATGTTTAAGAAGGTCACCCGCCAACTTGCCGAGATGTCTTTCGACAAATGCAGTCTGTGGAAGACCCCTGAAATCGGCGCCGCTCTCTCTCAGTCTGGCGGTGCAACCGAACGCAAGTACCACGTTTATTACACGGTAAATTCATTCTATGTACCGCGATTAGGACTTTCATATATACCCTACTTCGTTTTGGTCAGGGCAACCTTTAAAAATTTCACGTTGTTCTAACTTGTTAGTAAGAGAGGCATCAAACGGTTTTCGTTTCTATTTTTTTTTACTTAGTGCCGCGAAGGCGCGAATTGCTATTTGCCTTTTGACGGTCCGCGCTGTTCACCGGAGAATCAGTGCCTATGCTGTAGGATGTGGTACAGCCTAACTAGGTGCCAGTACGAAATAATGTCGCTGAACCGCTTTTGGAATGCTTGCACACCTTTTTACGACGAAGAGAGCAAGACGTTGCTGGAGACGATTGAGAGCGTAGATGATAGCAACCGGGATTCTCTTTACGGTTTGATTCGCGATCCAGATTCTATCGCCCGTTCCGTCGCGACAGGTACCGTGATCGCAATGTTTATTAATTTTATAAAATCAATTAGAGCACATTACTCGATATTAGTGGGAGTATTTTAAATTTTAGCAAGAGTGCATTGCGATAATATTAGTGAGAGTACGCTACTACATATGTGAGTACCAGTACAGATATTCCAAAATAATTATATGATGTTACTGCTTCCGGACTTCACTGTGGGCACCTTTTTGACAGATCGACCATACTGTAACGACGGTAAACTGAGTATGGTCATCCATCCCTGCTGCGAACCGCCACTCATGCTCGTTGTCGATAAGGTAGACTGCTTGCAAAAGGTGCTCTGCGGAACCCGTCTAGAATCTGGCATCCCTTTCAAGTTTTTCGATAGCGATAGCAGAGGGGCCACTATCGGTTCCTGGACGGGGCCGCTTAACGACGCCTGGGACCGGCTGCCCGCATGGCCGAAGATTGTCTTCAGCAGAGTGATGCACAAGCTGGTTGCCTGTATGAATGCAACAGACCGTGTCTCCGTTGCTGACACTGATCAGTGCAATCTATGCAAAGCACCGAAGGAAGTAGTGAGACTGTACGAGATGGGCAACACAGTGGTGTTGTAGAAGCGCGGACGATGTTTCAACTGGGTTTACAGTCAAACTGATCCTATCTACGACGATTCGGCATCCCTCGTAAGACGCTGCCTTTCTTTCTAATCATCAAACCACTTTTAACCGCAGTACAGTTTTGCCCGCTTTTTCGGTGACCCGGATAAAATATGCCGCGCCGCAGAAAAGTTAATAAACAAAATAAAATTTTTATGCGCGGTAATTGGGAGTGTTGTATGTAATATCTACCTGATTCAAGGTGCAGAGATCACGCTATACATTGTACCGTAAAGGATGGCCAGGCACAAAATGCATAAATAAGCCGTTGCATAAATGAAATCATGTATAAAATAACCACAACATTTCTTTACATAGCGCATAAATACTATACATAGTTGCATGATTGCCTAAATCAGTTAACTGTGAAGTCAAACGACGTGACAAATTAGGGAAATATTATTGTGACAGCTGGCAGCACTTCGGCTGCTAAAAATCCTGGCAAGAAAAAAAACATCGGGAAGATTAGCGTAATGCTGCTACTGCGGCATGCATATGTGTACGGTACCGGCTGTCAAGATTAATAGCCGTCGTATTGATCGGTTGATGTGCGGTACAAAGTAAAAAGTGATGAGCGTACTACATCATAAAGGTGCTTAATACACAGCAGCAGCGACCAGAGTTTTATTGAAGGCGAAGAGCTTCGCTGCATGTGATGATATCATTCATAAGCTGCGTGAGAACTACTCTAGATCTCTCGCTGACTATCCGTGGGGTTGCTGCCTGATTCCTTTCTGTACGGTTGGTAAAATGTTTCAGCAATATCATTCTGATTTACCGCGGTGCTGATTTTGTAATTATACAATACGTTGCGTTACTTAACAGGAATTTCTTCGTTCAGTGGAATATATTATGGATTCGCTGTTTTTCGCTCGAGGAAAGGTTCTTTTCCCGTTGACATTGGGAATCCTGTTGGTCATCGGATTCGCCACAACAGCCTCCATACCATCTAAGCAAGACCTAGCACTGCTGTCATTAGTGTGTCGCTTGGATACATCTATGCCGGTCGCTGAGCAAAAGGAGGCACTTGAGGACTGCGTCACCACCACAAGGTCATTTCATTATACTCCACTGGAAATTTTTCCTTATCTTGTGGTTCACAGCCAGCTTTTCTGAACGGCATTTGCTCCTTTTCTGATAAAAATTCATTTAAAGAGCTACGTAAAATCCTGGTACCTTCGTCAGCGTTCCAAAAAAAGCCTGATAGTCTCCCGCATGTCAATTTTTTTCATAATTTCCCTCACACTGGAATTACGTACATGTTCATGAAGCAATCAGCTAGGTTATAGTTTTGCTACAGTAAAACATTCGCACAGGCAGAATCGATTTCTTCGAGATGCTAGTTTGCGAACAATCTACATACAAGCGCTTGCCGTCTTCCTTCTGCTAAGGAATCGAAGGCTGCAACGTGCTACATAGTCTTGCGTTAGGTTAATCGTAGTTCAGTCGCCTAAGTTTCAAACTCTGAGTCTATGTGGACCGCTTATACAAAATTTTTTTAAAAAAATGTTAAAAAAGGTTACCGACTGCCGAAATAGAGAAAGAGCTGCTGCATCAGGTATTCAGTATTCAGATACAACGTGAGAGTGCAGGTTTTGTTCTTGAAAGATTTATTGTTATGCCTTGGAAAGACGATGTATTGTTTAACAGTTATAGGCTGGCTAAGCAGGATAATGATAACGCTCTACTTTAAAGCTAAACTATAGTATTGCGCTTTATTGGTAAACCCTCCCGGAAATAAAATCTTCCGTTAAAACGAAGAAGTTCCGCTAGTCAGTCCCAAGAACATCGTTATGCACAGCTCGTTAGGGTCGCACTAGGGGAATAATTCGTACAGCGCCTGCTCGTACAAGTTCGGGCCACTGCACTCACACACACTAAGTGACGTGTAGCGCAGCGCTGAGCTCACACGCAGTCTAACACGTAAAGACACGTCGAAGTTCCAACGTCTGCACCAGTACAGCTGATGTTCCGAGTAGGAGCGATAAAACTTACTACAGTAATCTCTCTGCAAACACTGCACAAGTGAAGGACCTTGTGGGATTCAACGCTTGGGATTCAACGTAGGAGCTCCTTTTATTCGTGATGATTTCATTATTATGAAAGGTAAATTTCAAGCTTTACGTACACTGTAGTAAGAACTGTGCGATAGCGTCTTCTAAATGTCTGCATGGACAGGTAACTGGGACTACAAGAACTCAACATGAAGGAGCTCCTTGTAGCTGATTTCTTCAAACAGCGCCTCAAAGGTAAGTTTACTGCATTTATCGCTGTAATTTTGACTTCTTTGTTTTAGAGTCAACCACACTGTGGATTGTTCAAGTGTCGATGCTGGTTTTAGGTGCTATTCCGTCAGCGGAGCTCCGCACAGGCTTTTTCGATCTGCATTACGGATTAAAAAATGAAAAAAACAGTGCACATAAACCACCAACACGAACTGGACAATTAAGTTAAAAAAGAAAACTGGGTCGCAACAAAAACTCCAACAAAATTTAATTGTTTTTATTAATAAACAATTTTGCAAGAAATGTTTGGCATTTGGTGCTTTTAAAATGCCGTGCCATTTGGCTATTAATTTCCCCATTGGATAGTATTGAGCCAATTAGCGTCTTTGTTATGATCACGCCTAGTGGTTTTGCGCAAATACGGTTGGGTGAAACCTGGCCACTCACAGAGCGGATAGATGCTCGACGGGCCAATGCGAGAGCGGACATACTAACGTGCTCCGTTGATATGTGGAGTCATATCAACGCAACACGCTACGATCTCACTTTTTCCGGGAGGGAAACGAATCAGAATACCAATCAACACTAGTGTTTTCGTGTTTTCATAACTCTGAGCTGTACACATCGTGTGGCTTCTTTCATGGCTTGTCGCTAACATTCCTTTACTCTTCAAGCATGCCTCAATATTTTAATTTTGCCTTCTCAGCACCAACTTCCGGCGTTTGGTTGACGGGATCCTAGCCGGAAAACTGATTCTATCCAACAGTACCATGGCGAACGCGAGCGCTTCATCGGTGCCGCTGTCCCCGCCCACCACCACCACAGTTCCCACACCGGAAACGCCGACACCCGGGGTGATTCAAGGTGACAACGATGTAACGCCGCCATCTGCAGCGGCTCCCCGCCCACAGAAAATCTCCTGGCTACGGTACATCGTCCAGAACCTGAGTCAGGTGGCCGAACGTCATCCGTTTTTCGCCATCATTACCGGCTTGGCAACCATGGCGGCGAGTTTGTCCTGTTTTATGTTTCTGGTCACGCCCCGCTTTCTCGATGCCCTCGAGAAGCGTACGCTGCGCGGCCGGGTCATGTTGATTTTGGGGCTGCTGTTCGCCATTGCGTTCGGCGCGTGGATCGTCGACAGCCTGTGGCAGGCGCTATACTGATGAACGCCAGGACGCGCATATATTTGGTTGGAAGAATATTTAGTTGGAATATTTAGTAGGAAGTAAATAACTACTATAAATAATTTACGACTTCGGAATAGTCTGTTTGTTTGCGGTAGTTGTATAGTCTGATGTTGTCTGCTCTATACGAACAGAAATTTTGCTTGTGATCAAAGCATTGCAAACAAATTTTCACGGCATTCTCAGTTTGGCATAAAGTGAGATTCAAGGTTTTAAACTGTGCATGTATACAGCTGACCATGTTTCATTAAATTTACCATCATTTCACTGAGTCTTAATAACATGTTGACAAATTATACGACGCTTGTCAAGCACTGGGCGAAGTATTTAAAAATTAAATTAAATTAAATAACTAAATTAAATTAAATTAACCGAATTTGATCGTAAGCTCGCAAACCTGCACCACGACAGTGCCGTTGTATGGATTCAAAATTAAAATCTTTGCCGTGTTCACTCGGGAAAAAATTCTTTTCAAAATGTCTGTACAGGCAACATACATACAAGAGCAGTTCCCCTGAACAAAGGCATCAAAAGCGCGAAACTTACAAAAATCACGGGGCGAGAAAGCGGATATGTGCATGTGGAAAGCTTTGGAGTGCAACGAGTGCATACTCGGTACATTAGAAACAAACCTGAGAAATACCTAATCATCACTTTAAATGAGACAAAACTGTGCATTTGTAAGAATGGAGGTGGCACTACCAATCCCACATTGCTGTTCTTTTAACATTCGTTCAGGGTGCAGATCCAACTGCTGGTTGAAGCAATCTATCTGGATCTACAGGAGGCATGCACCACAGACGGCACCATGAACACTTCTACGCCGTCGGACGCTAAACGACCCGTCCCAGTCCTTTCTGCACCACCGATTAAGAACCAATCTGACGTCATTGAAAGCTCGGTGCTACGACAGATTATGTACAGCGTCGGATGATGGGCCACCCGTCATCCAGTTTGTGCCGTCACCACCGCTGTTTTTGTCGACAGTTTTGTGCGTTGGGTTTTTAAACTGCTGCTGGCCTTTCTGGATGGACTGCACCGGCGCGACACTCATGGATGTATCACGCTATTCTGCGGCGTTTTTTCATGCGTGGTGGCTTGGTCGCTGTTCGCTGATGATCTTGTTCGGGGTCTCCGGTGATGCTCGCTATACCAATGCCTACGTCACTTTGGCCACGTGTTTTTCTTTGGTGAATTAATCCCTTGATCACCCAAATGTATATTTTACTTGTATGGTAGGATGTATTATTAGGATAATTATGCTTAAACCAGTATTTAAATGGTAATGACACTGCGGCATGAAGACAGTGCATTTAATAGTTTTGCTTTTCTAAATTAAAACATTTCTTGCAACAACAAAATCGAATAGTTTTCTTACTGATGTTATGTGCGCACTGCGCAGTCAGTTTATTTTAATGCACCTACTCTGAAACAAGTAAATGCTGCAGTGATTAGCGGTAAAATACAGGTAGTGGTGCTTATTTGTCGGTGGCGCACATACATAGCATCTTAACTGCGCACTGTATAGTTTACCGTACAACGGGATGCCCATTCTGAATTGCACGTTTGCTACGCGGAAACACGGGAAAAGTTATTCCATTCCGTAGCGGTAAGAGCTGCCCGCCATGGGTGGAACATGATTCCTGAATGGGCCAAGAAAGCGGAAGAAGGTACTTCCGACAGTAGTCAGTTTGGAATTTGATGTTTGTATGCCGGCGCAATCGGGTCTTAAACGCAACTGAACTAACCGTCTCACTTTCTCACAAGTAACATGAATACTGTTATTGTGGTCGTATTTTCTGGTCTTAAGACCATTTAAAGCGGTATCTCAATATGGAGTATGGACAATAATATTGGATGTAGATACAGACATTATTGATGCTGTGATAATATTGAACCGTGTTGCAAGCATTACGGTGCCGGCTGCCGAGATTATTAGCCGTCATATTGATCGGTTGAGGTACAAGTGCTGAGCTGGAGGGTGCTCGTTACATTACGTAGGCATTACAATATTCTCGTACAACAGTAGCGGGCTTGGTTGTATTAAAGGCGACGAGATCCACTACATCTGCATGTGATGATATCATTCACAAGTTGCATCGGACTCGGGACTACTCTAGAACCCTCGTTGGTTTTCCTTAGAGCTGCTGCATGATTTCATGTTTTACCATTGGTAACGCCTCCTGACTCAATGCTGTCCTAGCTATCCATTTTTTACCTGATCAAAACTCTGCATTTTTTAACAGGAATTTCCTCGAAGAATGGAATACCTGTGTATTATGCAGGAGCTACTTGGCGCTCGTGGGAAGGTTCTCTTCTCGTTGGCAGTGGGAATTCTGCTGTCTGCTGGATTTGCCGCAATGGCACCATTACCGTCCAATGAAGAGCTAACATTATTGTGCCACTTGGATTCATCCATGCCCGTTGCTGATCAAAGAGAGGCACTGGCGGACTGTCTTATGGGCATCGGGTAATTATGCTATTTTTCCAATAAAACTTTCCGTTTCCTTGATGCTCAAACAATTCTGTGGAAAAACATGTATCTGTATTCTTGCGCTTTTGATCAAACTGCTTGTACCAATAAGCCAACTACAAAATATAGGTATCTTTAAAAGGCTGACCAAAAGCTTATTCTCGTAAATGTGGCATAATATACATTTTCACATTTCCTTCACTTCAACAATACGGTTTTCTAAACCATTGATCTAGGTTTAGCACCAGGACGTAAATATTAAACCAATTTTGTTTCGGGTAACGGAATATTTTCGGATATTACTCAAGACAGCGATCGCTAGAACAATTCACCGAATTCGAGAAAATTCGTCACCCGTAAAGATAAGGAACATTGTTAATGTCTGCATTCATCGCTTCAGTCCGAACTGAAAATTTCTTATCTGATTTTTTATTGTCTGGCTATCGATGAGAATACCATTTACCAAATTCTAATTACTTCAATTTTTTTAATATGTCAGCACCAGCTTCCGGTGACTTGCGGATGCGATCCACGCCGACACTCCAACGCCGTCCAACAGTACAATGATCAGCACGAATACTTCTTCGACGCCGCTAAGCCTACTCACCGTCACAACAGTTCCCACCATGGCCACTCCGTCGCCCCAGCTGATTCATCCAGACCGTGAAACCAGTCCGCCACCCTCGCCAAAGATCTCCTGGCTGCGTTCCATCGTCCAGTACATGAGGCAAGTAGCCGACCGTCATCCGTTCTTCGCGACCATTACCGGCTTTGCCCTCGCCTCGGCAACCATGTTTTGTTTAACGGTGCTGATTTTGCCGCGCGTTTTCGAGGCCCTGGAAAAACGCGGCCCATGTGGCCGGGTTGTGCTGGTTCTGTGGCTGCTGCTCGCCATTGCGTTGGGTGCGTGGATGGTTGATAGTCTCTGGCAGGCGCTGTACTGATGGGTGACGAGAATATTTGGTTGGAATTCAATATTTACTGGAAATTATGCCATTGGCTTACAATTAGTGTATTCAGTTAAAGTGTGTCTGCGCCAAAATACCGTATCCGAACAAAACTTTTGCCGCTTGTAATCTGTAAAGTATTGCAAAGTACGGCATTCTCAGTTTGAAACAATGTGCGTTTAATGCTTTTCTGCAGTGCATGTGTGCAATAGATATCTTTTCATTAAGTTTACCGTTATTTACTGGATGGTTTAAAATAACCCATGTTAATAAATTATGCAAATCTTGCCAAGCAGTGGACGGAATACCTAATGGCGTACTTAGGAAAAGCATCAAATGCTGCCATTCTTTCTACTCGTTAACAATTCACATTGAAACCGTGTCCATGTCTAGAATATACTGTAACTTTTCCCTCTTTGAAAATGGCGCAACCTCCCTGAAACCAGCTATCGTAAAAGTTGGTGATTGCAAATTGCAACCTGTCCTTCAAGGCGTATTCCCCGTCGTAAAATATATTGTAGCGCTGCTTGGCTAGAAAAGGGACCATTCATACATCTGTATATAACGTATCCATTGTACATGGAATTCACGTTTTACTCAGCTTTAATAAGCAACTCGGCGGTACCGTGCTGGATCGTGATTCCTTGCAGGGAAACGTCAGCCCACCTAGCCTTGTATTCCTCGCCTAAATAATCCAGGCAACAGCGTGCAGCGTTGATTTTGTGGAATCCGCAGTATATTGGTGCCTCCCATTTAAGCGCTACACTCCCGATATACCTGGATGGCTGCTGTTTGCTTTACACACCACATTTAACAGCAGCGGAACATTGATCCGATGGTCTACCTGAAAATTTCTGGAGAGAAATCTTTACTGTAATACAAAAGCATCGATTTGCGATTGCATTCAACTGCGAAAACCTTTATTACGAAAGCATCGAAATGCGATAACCCATTGCGTGGCTAGTTTCTGCGCCATGTTTTCACACGGCCCGGAATTATTAAGAAATATTCTCATTAAGCGGTTGCTCTACGTAGACGGACAATTTGCAAAGAAAAGCAATCGCTGTTTTCAGCAAGGCGAGCGCGATATGAAATTTCCTAACAGGGAAGATGACGAAAGTAGCCACCGCAACAAATAATCTCCGCTAATAATCCAAAAAATTCAAAAAAGTTTAAATGCATTCCGGTGTGCCAAAGTCTCGTTATTAACCGATCTTCTCCAAATTTTGCTTGGAAACGCACCTATGCATGAAGTTCGTTTTTACACCGAACCACGATGCTAGCATTATTTTTAAATTTTTAAATCAGTTTTAAAATTGTTGAAATTCATTTTAATATGTGAAAAAAAGGTGGTAACTTAGGTCCGGTGTAAAAACGACCTTCACCTTCACGATCTCCATACGATAAAAACGATCTTCATACTTAGGTGGTTGTATGTGCAAAAAGATCGATCCATAGACCATAATGAGACTTTTGGTACATCTGAATGCATTCATAGTTTTCTGCATCTTCTAACGGCCATAACTCCCGAACCGGATTTTGCGCGCACGAACGGTTTTCACGCTTATGTGTACAAATCATCTGTCTAGAATGTCGTGAAATAAAGCAAAGAACTATTTGGGATTGCGCGAAAGTGAAAGTTTTCGTGCACGCATACGAATTCGGTACCATGTACCGGGCCACTTCATTTATTCTGTAGTTTGTGCCAAAAGGACCCTTTACTGGTCGTTTCTGAACAAAAAACCTTCTGAAAGCGGATTAACATATATAGCGTTCTGTTTACTTTGCACGCTACCGCTTTCGTTTGCCCGTGCAACTGGTTAAACATAGTATTTCCGTCAGGTGACGGTTTGCCCGAATTTATCTTGATTGCTGACTAAAGATTCCGGGAAGCGGAAGATTCTGGCGAAAATCACATGAATCGAGAGCGTGATCATGATACTAGTGCGTGTACACCACGCCGGCTGCATGAACCCTTTATCCAGTCGTATTGATTGATGGTGTACTGAGACGGAGCATGCGCAAACCAATGTACAGCATTACGCTTATTACATGCTGCGGCAGCATCTTGGCTTGTTAAAGGCGACGAGCTCCGCTGGCAGCATATCGATGATATCACTCACAAGCTGCGTCGGAAATAGCACTACTCTAGGACACTCGTTGATTATCCTTGTGGTTTCTTTGCAGGATTGTGCGCTGCACGCTTGGTAACCTATGACTTATGGAATCCTTATTAACCACTACGTTACGTTCATTTTACAACCTGTATAAAACGCTGCATTATTTATAGGAATATTTTTACCGTGTGGAAAATATGGAGCGATTTGTAGCTCATGGGAAGACTGCTTTCCCACTGGCACTGGGAATCCTGATGTTCGCAGGATTCGTCGCAGCGGCACCTACGCCATCCAAAGAGCAACTAGCGCTGTTCTGCAATTTAGAATCATCCGCGCCCGCCGCGGAGCAAATGCAGGCGCTGTGGGATTGCATTGCGGCTATCGGGTGGGTGTATATCTTTCTGGAACATGTTCGTCGCGATAACACACTTCCATGTTTTTAACAATTGCAACTCTAACGCTTGAGATGAAATTACTGTATCCTTGTCCTACGCCATACTACGCAGCAGTTAATGGTTCGTGCATCAGTGCATTTTTTTCCAGACCGCACTGTTTTTACTGATATTTCTGCGCGAGCATAAATTGTTTCTTTTTGTTGCCGTTTTCAATAAAATAATGTCAGTACCCGTTTTCAATAAAATAATGTCATGTACTGAGGATCTTGAAAATCAGTTATTCAAGTCCTCAGACATCGAAGTTTCCTAACAAGACAAAATTCTCAGAAATAGTCGATTTCAATAAAATTCTTTGGTGTTTTAGCAGACTAACTCAGCAGAACAGCAGTAAAGTTTTTAAGCAAGAGACACAACGAGTAGATTCCAGAAATTATGGTGCAGTTTGTGAACACGAAAAACGTCTATGCCGTCTGGATTCAAATATGTGATTATTTCGTGTTACTTTGCTACAATCAGTCTGCTGTTCAGACTGCATATGATGCATTATCATCCGTTCATTAGTTGATGTCTTTATTTAACTCCGCAGTACAAATTTCCACCGGCTGGCAGACGCGATCGGCCACACCGCATCGACAGAAAACAGCACAACGGACAGTACGCTCTCCCTATCCTCGCCAACGGCCCCATCCACCATCACAACCGAACCCACCGTTCGTTCCACACCACCATCAACACCAGCGCAACGTCCCGCACCGGTTCACCGTCCACACGACGTCACGCCGTCCCCGGCGCCGACTCAGCGTCAACGCGAAAAGTCCTATCTGCGACGCTTCGTTGAGGGCGTGGGACGCATGGCGGAACAGCATCCGTTCTTCACCATGGTCACGGCCGTTATCGTCCTCGTGGCGACCACGTTGGGTGGTATGGTCGCTCTGCTGATTCCTCTCTTCAACGCCATGGAAAAGCGCAGTCTACGTGGACGTATTGTGCTGATTCTGATGGCAATTCTGGGCGTTCTGTTCGTAGCCTGGGCCCTGGACAACATTTTTCAGGCGCTGTACTACTGATGTTCGTGTCGTAACCTTGTACCAAATACCTTTTGGAATCTATCCCTTGTGTTGTGACTTTCGATAGCCGCTTAACTAGTTCTGTTTCAACGTTTAGTCGACAGAAAATTTTTAGAAAGAGTTATGAAACAGCTTCAGCTTAACAGTTTGCGTCTGGTGCTGTATCTCCGATTTCTGCGTGCAATAGACCAGTGTCGCTTCTATCACCTCTTATTAATTGTGTAGGAAAGTTAACTAATCTGTACTGCAAAAGTGATATGTCGAACGTTGCTCGTTTTCAGCGATTTGAAACCGACGAACGTATAACTACAGTGTTCGTACACCGTTCGCTAAAATTCACGGTTATTATCGACTAGATTTGCGACCGTGTTGTAAGAAGCCACATAAGCTTGGATATCACTTTAAACCTAAGATCAAAAGACGGGTAGAAAGAAAGGATAAACCATTTCCGAACACTAAGTCAAAAACCAAAAAGAAGTTTACTTTCCGCTATATAACCGCATCCCCATATATTCTATACGGAAGCCAGTACAATGCAAAACTGATACGCCATGTACAATACAGATACATGTAGTGTATGTGATTACAGCCAAGCAACGCTGCTGCCTTTTACGATTCGGGATATCCGATTAAGGATACGTTGCAAATTGCAACACCCGTTCATGGCGGTACAAGACTATGCTGAAGAATTTTTTGAGCTATCATATTTATGATGTGCAGTGATTTTTTTCGGGCATCTACAGATACCATAGTACTGTAATATTTTGGGTGGCAGTTATAAAACTACTGATACTTTTACTCCCCTGCATTTTTACATGCTCGAGAAAAACCAAAAGAGAAGAGATCTGTATCGCTTTAGTACAAGCGTCAGAAGGAACGAAGGATCTCAACCTTTTTCAAATTAACATCACCAAAATTGAACTTCACTCGTAACACGTTTAGCGTTTCTTCTTAAAAGTAAGAGCTGTGCATTTGTCAGATTCGCACATACGTAGCAGCTTAGCTGCGCACCGTACAGTGTACAATAGGATACCAACTCTGAATCGCACGGTCGCTACCCGGAAACGCCGGAAAGTTCATTCCATTCCGTAGCGGTAAGAGCTGCCCGCTATCAGCAGAACATGTTCTCTGAATGGGCCAAGAAGAAAAGGTAGAAGGTGGTTCCGACAGTATGGAATTGGATGTCTGTATGCCGGCGCAATCGGGTCTTATACCGAAATAAACCAGCCGATTCAGCCGAAACGAGCCAGCGTCACCTAAACAGTTTAGACTAATCTGTTCCTATGTAGTTTTGCTTTGGTCTTATAGTGCAAGCCTAAAGAGGTCACTTCCCTAGTGTTATTGAGGTCTTATATGTTTGCAGAAGATTCGTTTAAAGCGGTAGGTCAATGTAAACTACGATACTGGATGCAGATACAGACGTTAACGCTGTATCATGTATGTAACAGGAGTGGAAGTTGGAGAACTAATTACACCAATTTGGCACCGAAAGCGAATTATTCGTATTTAGACAATTTATTACAAAAAATCCTTTGGTCAGTAATTTTGAAAGTCATTATGTATTAGTTGTCAGCGCTGGCCACACTGCCGCTGCAGTTTCCCACAATGGTAGCTTTTATTTTTCGGGGCAGGTAGTTGACCGATAAAGGAAGTTGAAATACCGTGACAATTAGCAACATCGCGCATCCGGAAAGCCTTGGATGGAAAAAATCATGGACAGTACAGACCCGATACATCCACTGTGGCATGCATTACGGTGCCGGCTGCCAGGGCAATAGCCTCCGTATGGATCGGTGGAGGTACTTGACAATGAGCTGGAGTGTGCTCTTCACATTACGTAGAGTAGCTGCTATAATAAACAGCAGCCTTGGTTTTGTTCAAGCTGACGAGCTCCGCTGCTGTGTGATGATATCATTCGTCGATACTACTCTAGAACCTTCGTTGATTATCTGCGGACTTGCTGCACGATTTCTTGCTGTACGGTTGGTAATTCATTTCAGTCCAGTTACTCTGATTTGACATATTTCATCGGTAATAGTAACACAAACCGACCCAAAAAGAAACACTAGGCAACTAGCTGATTTTACTGTGTGTTAATTTTAAAAACCTTTACACAACGCTGCGTTATTTAACAGGAGGTTACTGGCACAGTGATTCCATTATGGAGGAGCTATTTGTTGGTGGCAGGAAGGTTCTCGTCCCGTTGGCATGGGGAATCCTGTTGGTCAGCGGATTCACCGCAACCGCATCAAATAATGCAGAACTAGCACTGCTGTGCAGTGTGGATTCATCCGTGCCAATCGCCCAGCAATTGCAGGAGATGGCGGATTGCATTACGGCCATCGGGTAATTTCGTTATTTCTTCTTTGGTTTTGTGATACGCCCCTTGCTCTTTGAATTGCATATGATCTTGCGCTTTTAATAAAATCGCATGCTACCAGCAATAAGAAAATGCTGGTTTTTATAAAAGCGTTTGGAAGAATTTATTTTCGTGGACGATGGTACTGGTTGTAACTGAGGACCGACAGCTTCATATCTGCTGTATTATTACCCGTTGAAAACATTACCCTGACAGTCAAAAAATGCCTTAACTTTTTGATTCTTTGTTAACCTAATCAGCACCAACTTCCGGCGGCTGGCGGACGCAATCCACGTCGAACAACGGATGTCGTCCAGCAACGCAGCGGGTAGCGCCAACGCTTCTTCGCCGCCGCCGACCCCGCAAACCACTACCACCGTTTCCACACCGGCCACTCCACCACCCAGGCTGATTCACCAGGAATGCGACACCACACCGCCATCCGCACCGCCTCCCCGTCTACAGCAGATCTCATGGTTGCGATGGATCGTCGAGAACCTGTGCCGGGTAGCCGAACGTCATCTGTTTTTCTCCATGGTGACGGGCTGTGTCATCCTTGTGACAATCATGGTGTGCTTTGCTGCGCTGGTCATGCCTCGCTTGTTTGACGCAATAGAGCGGCGTAGCCCGCGTGGTCGGGTTCTGTTTAGTTTGGGGCTGATCTCCGCCATTGTTTTGGTTGCGTGGACCGTTGATAGTCTGTGGCAGGCGCTGTACTGATGGGCGGTTAGAATAGTAGGTTTGAATTAAGATTTGCTGTCAATTACGACATCGACTATTGTGGTCAGTTAGTTTATCGGAGTTAAAATGTGCGAAAAGAATAATTACTGCTGGTTGTAATCCGTATTGTAAATTAGCATTGTCGACTTGCTGCTGTGTGCGCTTACGTTTAACTTCAATGCATGTGCCATATGTAGAGTAGACATCTTTTCCCTCTGATGATTATTGTTTTTTTTAAAAATATATTTAATTCGGCAAAATAGTGAGGAATCTATGAGCTACCTGTAACGCACTGCTGGTCAGAATATTAGCGGACTGACGCAGGGCATCAAAATACTACCACTCCTTCTAATTTGCTATCACGGAAGTGAGAAATCGCTTTCTTGTACAGCGAAACAGGTTAGGCTGAGTTTCCGTGCCTGGCACAAGCTTGTCGAGAACCCGAGCTGGCCGGAAACAAACTGCATTCAACTGCTACTGTGCGGCATTAGCACAATAGATTCCTTATGAGTAAATGCACCGATCGATTCGACTTCTGACTTGTCGAATAATGTACCGATAATAATATTACACTTTGATTTGTTATAAAGGAGACGCCTTTAAAGCGCCATCAGCGGTGTCACCGATGCTGGGCGCTAACACAGACGCCGATACTGTAACTAACGAGGCGTGGGAATTAACTTGTTCAGACTGACTGTGACATAGGTCACAGGAAGAGAATTTTCCAGAGTAGCCAACTTAATATTAGAAGGTGCCTCGGTCACTACATTTGAAAGTCATTAATTTGTCAGTAGCATACTATTATAGGTTCAAGCAGTAGCGGACCATATTTCCGGCCCGATCAATTGACAATCATAGATATTACAATATTGTCAGAAAGGGAAGGTTATGGCTATTAAAGATGGGCAGTATAAATTCTATACAGTCGTTAAGGTACGTTTACGCTGCCGGCTGCTACGATTACTCGCCGCCGTATTGACCTGTGATATACTACGGATTACAAGCCTATCCGGTAATTTCTGTCGTAAAGGTACAGATAGTACGTATTTAGCGCGACGTTTGCGCTATAGCGATTGCCACTACACTACGTTTGGCGTAACACGCAAATTTGTGTATTTCGCTGTATCGAACCGGCAGAAATTACCGGACAAGCTTGTACATTGCGTTGCTGCTTCGGATTACATTGCGTTGATATATTGCGGATTACATTGCGTTGTTGCGGATTACCGTGACAGACCAAGTGGTCGCTGGACATTTCGTCGTGGGACATTTCGCCACATGTTTTTCGTAGTAGCGGCTAATTTGTTTTGGGACAAATTAGCCGCTACGACGGCTAATTTGTCCCAAAACAAAGTTTGTGGCAACGAACAGTCGTATGGCTATTTGCCAGAAAAACGAGATGTCCGTAAAACGAAATGTCCGTAAAACCAAATGTCCCGCGACGACTTGTCGCGTAGCCCGGATTACATTGCGTTGATCACGATTATCCCTTTCTTTTGCTCCCTACTTATCCCAATTATTCTCTCCTGAGCTTATCCATTATGAGCTTATCCTAGCAACTTCCTTCCCGTCCATCTTATGTTCCCATTGTCACCATGCCCCTAACTCAGAATGACCTCGCTGAAGTTCAAAAACTGATCACTGCCGCAGTTTCCATATCAGTTGATGCACAAGTACCGCAGATCAGTTGATGTACAAGTACTGCATTCAAATGGGCGTATTACATTACGTATGGAACGTATGCGCCTTGGTTTTATTAGCGGCGACGAGCCGCGCTGCATGTGATGTGATATCATTCGCAAGCCGAACTGGAACTACTCTAGTACCTTCGCTGATTATCCGCAGACTGGCTGCGTAATTTCTTGCCGTACGTGAGAGAACTGTAATTTAGCCATGTTATCTGATTCTGTGCTGATTTCATAATGTAAATACTTTTACAAGACACTGCGCTGTTTAACAGAAATTCATTTTTCCAGCGGAGTACGTAATGAAGGAGTTATTTCATGCTCGTTGGAAGGCTTTCTTACCGTTGGTAATGTGGATGATGCTGGTCGCCGGAGTCGCCGGAGTCGCCGCAACCCCTCCACCATCTTACGAAAAGCTAGCACTACTTTGCAGACTGAATTTGTCCGTGCCCGTCGCTGAGCAAATGCTGGCGCTGGCGGATGGCATTACGGCCGCCAGGTAACCTTATTATTAACTTTTTCCATCCGGAAATTACCGTTTCTCACTTTTAGCTTGATGCAAAGCCATATTTTCTGGAAGCTTTATACAAACTATAAAGCCAGCTCTCTGAATTGCATAAATTACCGCGTTCGTAATTTAAGCTGGCATCCCACATACTACAAACCATGCAACAATTTTCAAAAACGTTTCGAGAAAGATCTGTTCTTGTAAATGTTCGATACTGAATTATCTCATAATTTTCTCATTAAATTTTAGCGAATACGTTTTTATAAGCAAATGAGCTTTATAGGTACTTAGGTGTAACAGTTTCGTAAGTCGTAATAATACCACGTTTTCGGATATTGAATGACGTCACTGTAAGCTCAAGAATTGCGAAACATAAACGGCAGTGCGAGTATTGTCATAGAAATAATAATTGAACCCTTTTGGCTGATAATTTAGCTGATATTGTTAAACTTCATCGAGGCTCAGTCGGCTACGTTTCGCTATTGCCGTACCGTCCGCTTACGCCAGAACTGAGAATTTTTAAAACAAATGTAGTGAAAGATTAGCGACTGCTGATAATTGATAATGAACGATAATAATGAACGATAATGAACGAGTTTTGCATTCGCAAAACTCGTTCAGGATTGCTTTTGCGTCTGCGAACCAGTAATGAGTTGCTACGTGGTAGTCTCAGTTTTATTCCTGGAGCGTTGAACGGCATGATTCAGAACGAATAAATGTTAATTTTTGTGCTTACGGAACATTTAAGCATGTACCAAAACTTCATTTCTTATCAATTCTATCTTATCAGCGCCAACATCCGACGGCTGGCGGACACGATCAACGCCGTCATACAGACGCCGTTCAACAGTGCAATGGGTATCACGAACGCTTCATCTACGCCACTGACCCCGCCCTCCACCACCCCTGCAGTTCAAACACCGGTAACCCCGCCACCCGAACTTTTTCTCGGCGATCGCGATGCCACTCCGCCCGCCGCGCCGCATCTGCGTTCCCGGAAAACCTCCTGGCTCCGGTGTATCGTCGAGAACCTCGAACGGGTGGTCAAACGTCATCCGTTTTTCGCCGTGGTGACGGGCTGTGCCATCCTTTTGACGATCACGACGTGTTTTGGTGTACTGATGCTACCTCACCTTTTCGACGCTCTGGAGGAGCGTTGTCTGCGTGGCCGGGTTCTGCTAATCTTCGAGCTGATATTCGCCATTGCGTTGGGCGCGTGGACCGTTGATAATTTGTCGAAGTGGTTATGCGCAGGAGTTTTGTACTGCGGCGCTGTACTGATTGGTTGATTAATGATTTGATTGATTTTAGCATCAGCGTAGTGTGTTCAGCCCAATGTTAGAATGAGTAGAAATATACGAAAGAGATTTTGGTGATTGTAATTTGTACAGCAAATTTGCAGAGGCGTTGTCGATTTACCCATTGTGCGTTCAGGTTTACCTTCACATATTTACACTGTACCTGTGACTTGAGAGTACAGTAGACATCTTCCCTTCTGTTAACCATCTTTAACTGTAAGCTTAAATAAATCTGGATGCAAAATTATACGACGCTTCGTCGCTTGCTAAACGTTGGACGGAGTACTTACTAGCGCATTTACGAAACACTTCAAATACGTACTTTCGTTCTTTCTAACTTGTTAAACAGAAACGCTGAGAGGCAGACAAAATGAAATTCGCAGTGAAACACTTCCTGCCTTGTATATACTGTCATGCGTTCGACCTGTCAGTGAAAAAACGGCTGATTCACCGTAAACATAGCGGATAAAACGACCTGCGGGCAAATTTGGCTTTCATCAACAGACAAAACGGTGATTATTTCAGGCCCCCGGGAAGTTCGGGTACCGGGAAATCGTGGGAAGCAGACATAGCTGCTACAAAATAGCACCGTAGGTAGATATGCAGCGCCGAAGGACATCTTCTAACCATACGACGTTCTCACGTGAGATGGCACAAAAGCGCTAAAATCAGCTACCGTAGAAGAAGGTATGTGCAAATTGCAACGTATTGTTAATCGCATAGGTCGAACACTGTAACGTTGCTTGGCTAGAAACGGGAAAGTACCGTACATCTATCTGTCTTATCGCACTGTCGCTTCGGTTTGCTTGGACAACTGGCTATGCAGAACATTTCAATCAGGTGACGGTTTCGCGAGATTCACCGTGGCAGCTGACTGAAATTTTCGGAAGCGGAAGATTCTGGGTGGAAACCGCATGCAGCAGGAACGTGATCATGATACGAGAGCCTGTACTGTCTGTACACAGTGCCGGCTGCAGAGGCGTTAACTTTTCAGCCCGTCGTATGGATTGGGTGATGCGTACATACTGAGCCGCAGTATATTTATACAGAAGGAGTCTACTATCTATGTGTATGTACAACCTTATGTATACAAATATCACATACTCGTAGTATACCGTAGTAGCGACTTTGCCGTAGTAGCGACTTGGTTAGTAGAAGGCGACGAGCTGAGATGCCTGCAAATTATTGATGTAATTCGCATCCTGCATAGGAAATGGCGCTACTCTAGAACCCTTCTTGGATATCCGTGGAGTTTTTGCACAAATTCTTGAGGTACGGTTAGTAACTATTATTGGCACTAGTATTCTGACTAAACGCTGCGTTAATGATTTATTTTAAAAAACCCGAACAAAACGCTGTGTATCTTACAGGTACTGGTTAATCGTGCGGAATTTATGGAGCCACTGGTCGTTCAGGGGAAGCATGTCTTCCTATTGGCACTGGGAATGCTGCTGTTCCCAGAATTTGTTGCAGCGACCCCAACATCGTCAAGTGAGCCATTCGCGCTGTTCTGCAATTTGGAGCCGTTCGCGCCCGCCGCTCAGCAAATGCAGGCGCTGGCAGATTGCATTACGGCCATCGGGTGAGATCATTTTATTTCTCTTCTGGGAACGCCTTGGCAGCCAGTTTTTTATTAAATGCACAACCATAACGCTTTTCGAAAATTACTGCCAACCAACGGTAACGCTGCAGTTGGCGTTTTAAAGGTGAGTTATTTTTGCATTAACACAATCAGTTTCTTTATTCGGGCATTTTGGTACTTTTTACGTATGTAACGTACTCGTACTTTCTTTTGGACAATGTGCACTTTCTTTTGGGCAATTTTTTAAGTAGTATTCGTACAATATTCTGGTATCGCAATTTTTCACCAAATGGCTGGTTTTTTTTAAATGATCAGTTTTATTATGAACACGTTGCTCGCGAGTCAGAGTTGAATTCCAATTCCATAGAATAACTGGATTGCGGCGGCTCTCAAATCGCTACAAATCAGGGATAGTTTGCATTGCAGAGGCAATAAAAATGGCAAGCGGTCTGAGTCAGACCCCGTCTGGCCTGCAGACCGTCCTCTGCAACGCTCTGCAGCCCGGTCCAAATCGCCTTTTTGAACATGTAGGTCCTGGTCGTCTGCTGCGCTCCCTGCTCCCTATCAAAAGACACAGGAGAGGGCAAAGTCGCTCGGACTGGTCAAACGCATATGGTCTGAGTGTAGAGCGTAAGTGTATGACTACTGAATGTGAGTGGAAGAGCAGTCCACAACTCCACATGTACCCCGTTTCCCTATTGTTATTGTATGCGATGGCGCACGTTTTGTTTTGCAAAGTCTATTTCAAGCAGCAGACCAACGACGTCTTTCTGTGCCAAACGGCAGCGGCATTTGGAATGCAAACGTTGGCTGCTCTGCAGCGATTCAGAGCCGCCGCAATCCAGTTAATATCACTAAAGCCTTATAACAGACAAAGCGAGTAAGTGCCTGAAATTCTAAATAGCGTAGAAAATCTAAAAAGCTGTACGGCATTACTACTTATTTTTGCCACCAGGTATTTTACGTGTTTAAATGTCATAAGCATAGTCTCTTGAATAAACTGGAATACCAAAAAATGCTGTTACCTAAGTTTTAACTTAACGCGACAGCACGAATTTCCGGCGGCTGGCTGACGCGATGAACGGCAACAACTCATCAAAGCTTGTAAGCAGCCCGGAAGTTGCGCTTCCTCCATCCTCTCCGCCGGCCAATCTCACCACCACTACAGTTCGTCCCTCACCGACTACAGAGCCGCCCGCACCGATTCACCGTCAACGCGGCGCTACTCCGCCTTTCGCCGCCGCGTCAGTCCACCATCAACGCGAAATGTCCTGGCCACGGCGCTTCATGATGGGCCAAGGGCAGATGGCCGAACAGCATCTGCTCTTCACCATCGTCCTGGGCACCCTCGTCCTTCTGGGTGTTATTTTCTGTCTGATAGTACCCTTTCTCGAAGCCCTGGAAAAGCGTAGTGTGCCTGGACGCATCATGATGTTGACAGCGGCGATTCTGGGCCTTCTGTCCGGTGCTTGGGCCCTGGATAATATTATTACAGCGCTTTACGAATGACGTTCGACTAAGGGGCTTGTTGCCAGTAATCCACCATGTATGCTTTTATTGTGACGTTAGACCTGTCACAGTGTGCTTCCTGTGTTTAACTTCACATGATCTGTGCAAACGCTATCCTTCGCTTCTAACAAGTAACAACTATCGTCATTTTTTTGGGAAACCTTAGCTGAACTGTGCACCTGGACGATTTTGTGCCCAAATACTCACCTGAATTGAGTATATACTGTATATTGGCATATATATTGTAACTGAAACCATCTGTATAGTAGCTACTTAAAGTTTAAGTTTCAGTGAGCTGAAATTATTGAATGTCTTGAACTGGGTGTCTTCCACGTACTAATAAACCGTATATTCTGCTGCTAAATCTGGACTCAGACAACATATCCGAAATATGGTTAATATCGACGTTAATTAGCTTCCAAAACATCCATATAAGCACGTCTCAGGGACGGGTGAACCATATACCTGCGAATTCGGAAAAATTGCGGCTTGCGCGATTTACATGCGGTGCGCTACGCCACCAAGGATTAAGGAACCTGTGGTGTGAGGAGGGAAGTGTAGCCGGTTTATGTGGCAATGTGTATTATCGCTGGCAGCATCCACTATGACACAGTACTGAGGCGGCGTGGCCACTGCAGTAGAATCCACGTCATGCGGTTTAATGCCCAGTCTAAATACTACTCGTTCACAATGTTCACCCGTCTCTGAGCTAGGCTTGCATGATTCCCGAGCGATAATGTGATTATTGCAATAATCACATTATCAAGGCACCCAATTGGGTGCCTTGAGTGCACAGCATCTTCCGTGACGGAAGAGTGTTATTTACTCAATACTCTTCAAGACGAAAGTAAACTGGTTTCAATCAGAACAATGGTTGAGTTTTCTAGACGACGGCTCCCACGACTGACCGGAAGTCCATAAAATCTCTCCCATTCTTTATCAAATTAACCGTTCGCCATGAAAATCATAGGATTGTTTTTGGAAACTGTCTTTATCAAGCTTTGTTAGACGGCATCGGCATTGCCTTTTTTTCATTTTCCATCTTTATGAACTAGTCACTATGCACCAAATTGTAAATCCTAACTTTTTTAAGCTTTTACAATTTTTTCCCTCGGCCTACAACAAACTTTCACGCAGTGTTGTGCTTTTTCCTGTGGCCGTCAAAATCTACTAAATTCAGAATTTCAATGAATTTTTGTCGCTGGCCGCAGACAGTTGTCTTCAGCCTGTGTCACATGGGTGCGAAATCTTTATGGAAAGTTCAGCTCTTCCAAATAATAGAGCCATAATGAAAAAAACTGTATCAACAGATTTCGGATAACTTCAGTCAGGACGTCGCAAATACTTTTCTGCTAAAAGTATCACAGCCTGGGTGGTGCAGCCTCTGTATTTGCATATACTGTGTACTCACTCGGCATTTCTGTCCTTCATATTTGCACTGCTGGATTTCGTTTAACTGTCAGTTATCGCACTGCCGTTTCGGTTTACTCGGACAACTGGCTGTGCAGAAGATTTTCGACAGGTGACGGTTTTCTGAGATCCACCTTGACTGCTGACGAAAGTTTTCGGAAGCGGAGGATTCCGGCTGGAAACTGCACCCAGCAGGAACGTGATCATGATACGGCTGCGTGTACACAGTGCCGGCTAAATACGCATTAGATTTTTTAACCCGTAACATTGATTGAGTGATGCATATAACGCACCGATCAGCAGCACACGTGTACAAACAGAATTTCATATACAGTATATGTAAATATAGCGTACAACCTTATGTATATAAATAGGATACCGCAGTAGCGGTTTGGTTAGTTGAAGGCGACGAGCGGAGATGCCGGCAAATAGATGATCGATATCATTCACAGGCTGCATCGGAAGTGGAACTACTCTAGTATTCTTCTTGGATATCCGTGGTGTTTTTGCACGATTTCTTGCTGCATGGTTAGTAACATAAAAGCACTAGTATCCTGACTAAACACTCATTTACCTGGCGTCATGTACTCATTCAACGACACTGTATAAAACGCTGCTTTGTTTACAGATTCTGCTCAATCGTGTGGATTTATGGAGCCACTGGTCGTTCAGGGGAAGATGTTTTCCTGGTGGCACTGGAAATGCTGCTATTCGCAGGATGCGTCGCAGCAACCCCAACACCGTCGAAAGAGCCACTCGCGTTGGTCTGCAATTTAGATCCGTTCGCGCCCGCCGCTGAGCAAATGCAGGCGCTGGCGGATTGCATTACGGCCATCGGGTGAGATCATTTTTTTCCTGATGGCATTTTCATCTAGTGGAAGCCAGTTTTTTTTAACTGAACAAACCATAATGCTTTTTTGAAAAATTGCTGCCAATCAACGGTAACATTGCAGTTAACGTGTTAGACTTTTCAATTACTTTTGCGTTAACACAAACAGGTCCTTTTTTCGGGCATATTTGCACTTTTTTACATATGTACTACAGCACATGTATGCGATTTGTGTTTTTAACTGTATAATTTTTTGAAGTGGTTATCCAAGTATTATGGTATCGCAATTTGTTATTAAACAAAGTTTTCGAAATTGGCCAATTTTAATAATTATGAGATTAAAAACATTGCTCGCCATTTCAAAGTCAAATTCCACAGAACAGCAATAAAATGTTATAACAGACAAAGCGAATAAGTGCCAGAAATTTTGAATGGTTTAGAAAGTCTGAAAAGTTTGGCATGATCACTTACTAATTGTGCCACGACATATTTTAAGTGTTTTACTGCTATCACAATAATTATCCAATTACGCTGTTAACTAAGTTTTTGACTTAACGCGACAGCACAAATTTCCGGCGGCTGGCTGACACGATGAACTACAACTCATCAACGCCGTTCAGCAAACTTGAGAGTACGCTCCCTCCATCCTCGCCGCCGGTCCCGTCCGTCACCCACACCACCGTTCGTCCCTCACCCGCACCGATCCACCGTCAACGCGGCGCCACTTCGTCTTCTGCCACCACGCCGGTCCACCATCAACGCGAAATCTCCTGGTTACGGCGCTTCGTGATTGGCGTGGGGGAAATGGCCGAACAGCATCCGCTCTTCACCATCGCCGGGGGCACCGTCGTCGGGCTGGCGTTTATTTTCGGTGTTGTAAGTCTGATACAGCCTTTTCTCGACGCCCTGGAAAAGCGTAGTGTGCGTGGACGCATCCTGATGGTGGCGATGCTGATTCTAGGCGTTCTGGTCACTGCCTGGGCCCTGGATACTATCATTACAGTGCTGTGCGAATGACACTCGCCACATGGGTTGTTTACCAAATATCCACCATGGATTTATGCTTGTATCTGTATTGTGAATTTGTGAGTATAGGCCTTCCAAATTGTGCTTCCAGTGTTTAACTCCACACTGTCTCCACACTGTCTTTGCATGTTTTTGTCAGCTATGGTTATTTTTTTTAACGGTAAAGCTTAGCTGAAGGTTGCGCTTAGATAATTTGTGCCTAAAGGCTTTCCTGAATTATTATATACAGAGTTTATATTATAACGGAAGCCATCTGTTTAGTTTGTACTTAAACGTTAAGTTTCACCAATCTTAAATTTTCATGCGGTAATATAATGTTACTTGGGATCGCATATGAGTATACCTGATCCCAGTGACACGTTTAGTGAGTGTCTCCACGTACCAATAAACTGCATTGTTATGCTGCTAAATCTGGACTCAAACAACATATCCGGAATATGGTTAATATCGACTATAATTAGCATCCAAATGATACATATAAATGCTGATAGATGAAATACTGTATATGGTAGAGGTCAACAAAAAATACGGATACATCAGTGTAACCACAAAACGCGCACAACCAAGTTGTCCGTACGCGAACAGCCGAATTCCGGGGTGGCCGTCGGTCTGCTGATGTTAAAAGGAGTGCATGCACGAAACTTTTCGCCATCGCGCACTCCTAAACACATTTTTATTTCGGTTTATGACATTCTGTAGCCAGAATATTGTACACACAGGCGTGAAAACCGTTTGTGCGCGCAACATCCAGTTCGGGAGTTACGGCTGCAATAAAATTCCAAAAAGTTTCATTAATGCGTTCTGGTGTACCAAAAGTCTCATTATGGACCGATCTCCCTCAAAATTTGCGCGTAAATGCACATGGACATGAAGATCGTTTTTACACCGATCCAGATGTCCATGACTTTTTTCAAATTTTAAACTGAATTTTGAGACTTTTGGAATTCATTTTAATTTGAAAAATATGCTAGTACATTGGATCGGTTTCTAGACGTTCTTCGTGGTTATGTGCAATCACATGCAAAATTTGAGCGAGATCGGTCCATTACCAGGCTTTTGGTACAGATACAACTGAATGAATTTAAACTTTTTGAATTTTCTAACAGCCATAATTGCCGAACCGGAAGTAGCGCCTATAAACTGTTTTCGCAAGAGTGTATATGAATCTTCTGGCTACAGAATGTCATAAACCAAAACAAATATATTGGGGAGTCCGCACTCCGCGAAAATTGAAGTTTTCGTGCATGTACACGAATTTGGTACCATGTACCAGCCCGCTTCCCTTAAACTAATGTTGACCCCGTGCATCTTGCTCATTTCCCACCGAAAGTATCCACCGCTATCTCAAACGAATGGGAAAAAAATGGCAAGAAGTTTGATAGCAGACAAGTTGTTCTTTAGGAGATCTAAGAGAAAATCGAGGCATTTAAAAATTTCTCTTAGACATAAAATTGAATTCATATCCACAGCCTGATTTCGGTTTTCACACAGAAATCGTACGCTCTGCCTACGAGAAACCGTAACCGCTCAAATGCCCTGATTTTTTCAAGATCTCATAAAAAGCGACTGGCAATTCTTGCCGATTTTTTCATTTATTTGAGATATCAGCGGATAGCTTCCATTAGCAAATGTGCGTTGAAATTCATCCGCGGTTTCTTTTTATTGGTCATTTGCTCTTGACCAATCATTTCTATTTATCATTCGGTCGCGGATCGACCGTAACCATATTTTTGAACTCAACTGTACTATTGGGTGCCGCTAGTACAGCCTGTACACCGTGATGGTAGTCCGTATAATAAATGGTATGCAATCGCCTGAAGAAGTTTCGTAGGAGCAGATATTGTGGTAAATTTGTCATCATGGGAGGAGAAATCATCAGTGTGATGGTGTTGGGATTGTTGCTGACCGAGACATGTTGCACAACACTGGGGGCAACCCATTGTCGCCGGTTCAACCATCTGATGTGAAACCAAGGCGATGTCCACTGGAAACCGGGAAACGGTCGAAAAATGCACCGATGGGGGAATCGTACCCCGGCTACGTCGTTAGATCCGCGTAGGCAGTACCACTGCACCACGGGGCAAAGTGTTGAAAATCCTTGAAAGACTTTGTCGCTGTACGTGAGCCGTTTCTCTCTTTGCAGACGCTTTCTAGGAACCTAACTGTAGTGTTAGGCCAGGGACTGCACGAGACCCCTAATGACCTCAGGACTTTTTAAAGCAAATTATGTCTTCAGTACACCACCAGGATGCAGTGTCAGCGATGTAGCCATGCAGCCAGCCGACGGCTTTCCATCTTTCGATTATGGTGTGGCTTTAAATATTTTTATTCTGCTTGTACGAGTATTAAAAAATGCTGGCGCAATGCAATTTTGTATGAGTATCACTCACCTTCAGCTGCAAGTGCTCGCAGCGCTCGGCTACTTGAGCAGCGACAGCGGCGGAAGTGGGCAGCTGCGCTCATCTTAACTTCCGTAACATTTACTTTTTCTTTACAAAGGCATTTATTTCTTCTTCTTTTACTTACTACTTGACCTTTTAGTTTTATTAGTACTACAACTACTTTTACTCTTTATTTGCCAAACGGGGAATACATCGATGTTACTTTAAAGGAAGATTTATACCACTTCGAGCTGGGTTAGGGGTATTTTTCTCATTAAAATTGTCGCGGAATACAGACTTCTAAAGAACAATAAAAATGCGCGCTTTTTAGCTTGCGTAGTTCCCGTGTTAGTTCGTCGGAGGCTAATCCAGTTGGCGCTGGACCGTCAAGAATGAGAAAAATTTGTAGGAACAACATCAATACAGTGCCAGCTAAACATAAAAGTAGAATGCTTGGCACGGTAATCCATGATTTTTCTACTGCAGGCTGTGAAATCCTTTGCTTTGTTTCTGGGCTTGCGTTCTCGTTAACGGATAGACTTCCCCGAGAAGGAGCCGACTGTTCCTGACCAAACGCCACTGACGACTCATCGTCATCTGACAGTGAGTCTGACTCATCCCCATAGCCGATTTGCTTGATTCCTTCCTAGTGCCTTGTTGTTGCAACGCCATGGTGCTCGTACTTGATGCAACCGGTTTACGCCGAGTACGCGGTAGGGCGCTTCGTTCCTGAATGAGGCGGTCAAAATTCTCTTTGCCAAACTTTACGGCATCGCCATGGGCCATACTATTACTGACACACCGGCATTTTTCGGAAAACCAGGTATGGTAATCCCCGCCGTCAGGCTGCAGTCCACTGTATTGCGGTAGTTGTACCGCTTCCCGCAGAACTCGGGCGGACATAGCAACCAAACCGCTGCGCGCTGCTCGTGCCTGTAATTCTTTATCCTCGGTTATCAGCCAAACTACTCCGGTGTCGGTGTTGTGGAGTAGATACAGGGCGTAGACCAGTATGGCGCCATCGCATGGCGAACGGTATGGGCCGTGCTTTGGAGGATAGAAAACGTTCCGCAAGTAATCGGCTGAGGACTTGCTCTGCAAACGTACACAGCGACGTTGCTGTTTAAATTGCTCAAGGTATTCGTAAGCTTTTTTGGCTTGCTTCCATGTCTTCTTCGAATTCTTCTTTGGTTTCTCTTTATTTTTATCGCATTGCAGCCTTTCGAGTTCTTCGTCGACTTTATGGGGAATCATCAGCAGCACAGAGGTTGGCAGCGTGTATAGTTTGCCCTCCGCAATATCCTGGAATATAGCCAAGCCAGCGGGCTGCAGTAGTGCGCATGTATCGAAAACCAGTTTCAGATCGCTTTTCTCTGTTTTCTCCATAGTGTAGCACTAGCAATGATTGAAATTTGAATTATCTGTATAACTCTGGAAATTTAAAGTGTAATAAGTGCATGAAGCAGGGAAATCAACTAATTGTGCGGAAAACGCAATATGTCGTGATGTACTTCCATACATTAGCGAGCGCAAAGATAACATCGCTTGAATCCCACAACAACAAGGAAACAACCGTAATGAGGAAGGACACAACACATAGGCGTATGGGGGCGTTACGTGAGAGCTCCCGACAAGGAACGCAGCAAAGATAGGCTGGATAGAAGAAATTCGCAGACTAACTCTGAGACAGATAATCCGAGAGTTTAAATAGGGATTAGATTAGCGGATGCTTGGCTATACGGCTGCAGCGTTCTTACAGTCTATAGAAGAATACTCACAATGGGCGAGGCTAATTCATCGCTATAAATCGAAGTTCTCCGTTTGTGCAGTCACTCTTATAATAGTCTTATTAGTTATTACACTTTACTGCTGTGTTCTCAGCCTAAAAAGAACCCTTCATGCAGTGTACTGTAATAAGCGCACTAAGAACGGAACCGTTACAGAAGTTGCGCTGATGTAATCTCTTTCCTGAAGGCATTTTTCTACGTTCGAAAAGAAACCGCATACTTGATGAAAAGCGTGTTACGACTATGTGTTCTGAGATAAATCATGTGTACAATACACTGACTATACGCAACCACTCAGTGTATCTGTACCGTATGAGTAGGCGACGAAGTCAGTTAATGAGCTCCTCACCGAACAGGTTTCCTTTCATCGTGTACAAACAGGCTTGAGCTTTTATTATTAGGCGCTACACGATGGTTGTGGAATTTCTGAAAATCTACTCTAGGTAGTTGTAGTTAATGTTTTGAGCACGGGCATCGAAAGCGCTGTCATATGCACTCAAAAAAAATGAGTTCCTCCACCTTACATTAATACCTTATAATTCCTTCATTATTTCCTAGACCTACACCTCACACCGACTAACAGCGCATTTGTGACATAGATTTCGTGAACCCAGTCCATTCGCCGGATCATGTGGCTGAAATCAGAATTTTTTGAATAATTATCCGAAGTGGCTATTTTACCCCAGTGTTTGTGGCAAAATAGCTTTTGGCTATTTTGCCCCAGTATGTGGGGCAAAATAGCCTTTTGCTATTTTGCCCCACACTGCGTTCAAATAGCCTTCAGCTATTTTGCCCCAGTATGGGGGGCCAAATAGCCTTCTGCTATTATGCCACAGTACGCGTTGCATAGCGTTTTTATATTGTGCCGCTGTATGGGCGCTAAAATGTCTCGTAGCTAGTTTGCCGCAGGATGGGTTACGTTCGTTTAGCACGTTGTCGCTTATTTGAGTGCTTTGTTGGGGAGTGGGAGGCAGTGGGAGAAATGGGACATTATCATTCGGGCAGCAACAACTAAAATATGGGTGATTCGGCACCATGGCGATGTTTGGACTTAACAAAGACTGTCCAACTAAGCAATTCCCGAACTCTTTACAATTTAAGGCTAAACTGTGGCGTGCTCCCATACCCAGCCTTTCTTTTCTTTGGGTGGGGAATAGAGCCTATTGGGTTACCTGAGTTGACCGATGAGTCTGGTAACAATACCCAGTCCGGTGGATGCATCCGGACAATTCGCGTCCCGCCGTCAGTTTTGGCCGTAGCCCGTAGGGACCGGTTATTGCCGGGTTGATTGGGTTACCCTACCGGGTTTTTCCGGTTGTTGGTGCAGGGAATTCATCCTGAACGCGATATTTGGGTTCGTGGTCGATCCTTCCAGGTAGGCCCGGTAAAGTACAATTTTTCGAGATTCCGTCCGGGCAAAACCGAAAATTCTTTCTTCAGTCAGCTACTTGGGTAACGGAATCGGGTTCGTGAAGGATAAGTCCCACTCTCGAGTTGCTTCACCGGGTTAGTCCCAAGCTGTAGTAGCAAAACGTGGATAAGCGAATGTTTTCCCCAAAATTGCACCGCGATTTTCTCGAATTTCACCGGTGCAAAATCGCACCGTTAACAACCCTAGTGCTGATTGAATCCAAAGCAGTGAATACATGTATTTTTATAAGTGAATAATGCATTTGATAAATATGCAGTGTATTTACCGGAAACGGCGACAAAATACAGTAGTTTAAAGCTATTCGAACGCAGGGTGTGGCCAGATTAACTAGAGGCTATTCTGAAGACTATACTGGGGCAAAATAGCTGAAGACTATTTGAGCACAGTGTGGGGCAAAATAGCAGAAGGCTATTTTGCCCCCCATACTGGGGCAAAATAGCTAAAGGCTATTTGAACTCAGTGTGGGGCAAAATAGCAAAAGGCTATTTTGCCACACTGCAGAATACTGGGGTAAAATAGCCATAGCCATAATTATCTGCAATTTGTCGTATATGGTTTTCTTGTTCCTGATTATTATATCGCTGAAATTGTGATATAAGGATATTCCAACAAGACCAACTTAAGAAACGGTTCCTGTATTTCATAGACTCATAGTCAGCCCTGCTTAAGTCGTTACCCGGGTTCTGCCCTTGATGCCTGATAAGGGAGGCTAAACCGCAACGCTGGTGGCTACATGCAAAGTGCAGTAATAACCAACAAATCGTGTACGTTTGATCGATATCTGGTCTCAAAAGTTTACGCATATTTTAAAATATCAGTCACTGTTCCGTTTTAATGCGGCAAAATCCATGTACCGGGATTAGTACGCTGATAAAATTTTAGTACGGAAACTCGGCAATCCAGTGTGGATCGTAATTCGGCCGCACGGGAACCTCCGTATATTTCGCCTTGTGTGCTTCGCAGAAATAAGTCTTGTAGTTAGCTTCTGGAGTTGTTTTTGGTGGAATCCGTAACATAACGGGACACTGTACTTCTCCGTCGATGCTCGGCACTCTTCCGATACACTGAACGGTCGTCGCGGCGGTATAGGCTTCCCACCATGTTGAACACCATCGGAACACTGCTCCTATAGTCTTCCGGAAAATCCCTGAACGGAAACGCTTATCATAGACAAAAAACCTTTTGTTCTAGTGAGAAAATTAACGGTTACCAGCTACTCGGTTCCAAAGTCTTAGCGCAAGTACTCTGTATATGAAACGTCTAACGATATTTTCGCTTGTCGTACAGACTGTATATGGCTCGTTAGTTTTGGAACACCATGTGGATCGCAGCGTTATTCACAGTACGTTTTAGTAAGGAGCCATATACAGTCTGTAGACTGTATATGGCGAAAATATCTAACGATATTTTCGCTTGTCGTACAGACTGTATATGGCTCGTTAGTTTTGGAACACCGTGGATCGCAGCGTTATTCTCAGTACGTTTAGTAGGAGCCATATACAGTCTGTAGACTGTATATGGCGAAAATATCTAACGATATTTTCGCTTGTCGTACAGACTGTATATGGCTCGTTAGTTTTGGAACACCGTGGATCGCAGCGTTATTCTCAGTACGTTTTAGTAAGGAGCCATATACAGTCTGTAGACTGTATATGGCGAAAATATCTAACGATATTTTCGCTTGTCGTACAGACTGTATATGGCTCGTTAGTTTTGGAACACCGTGGATCGCAGCGTTATTCTCAGTACGTTTTAGTAGGAGCCATATACAGTCTGTAGACTGTATATGGCGAAAATATCTAACGATATTTTCGCTTGTCGTACAGACTGTATATGGCTCGTTAGTTTTGGAACACCGTGGATCGCAGCGTTATTCTCAGTACGTTTTAGTAAGGAGCCATATACAGTCTGTAGACTGTATATGGCGAAAATATCTAACGATATTTTCGCTTGTCGTACAGACTGTATATGGCTCCTTAGTTTTGGAACACCGTGTGGATCGCAGCGTTATTCTCAGTACGTTTTAGTAAGGAGCCATATACAGTCTGTAGACTGTATATGGCGAAAATATCTAACGATATTTTCGTTTGTCGTACAGACTGTATATGGCTCCTTAGTTTTGGAACACCGTGGATCGCAGCGTTATTCTCAGTACGTTTTAGATTCTGTATAGCAACAATTTCGTATTTTTACTACAGTGTACGGAAACGGAGCAATTAATATTGTCATTCATTGAGCTGAGAATCTTCGTGTATAGTAACGTATCATAGTCTCGTTCTTTAAAGCATCTTGCGGGATGGATGCCCTTTGTCTGCTGACAATCGATTTTTTCCAAGGTCCGTAAACCTACTTGGACTTTCGTTCAAATGCCCTTGGGATGTGCATAGCTTTATTTGGTTTAAATCTGTTTCTTAGTAGCATTTCGCAGCAGACTGTGTGTAAAAAGGTTATCGGTCCCGTTTACAATGCCTAGACAATGCAAACGGGATCGAATAACAGACCTGTTCCATCGTATTACTTGCAAAGGTTAATATGATTCAATTCAAACCATCGTATTACTTAATGTGTTAATGTAAACCAATGTCATCCATCGTAGTACGTGCAGCATATGTACAAGCTTGTCCCGTAATTTCTGACGCATCAATACAGCGAAATATACAAATTCATGACGTAGTGTAGTGGCAGTTGCAATATCGCAAACTTCGCGCTAAATGTGTGCTGTCTGTACCTCCACGCACGAAATTACCGGAAAGACATGTACAATTCGTTGGAGCACGCACGGACGCACGGACGCACGGATGGTCATTTTATCATTGAAACTAAATTAACAGAAATTAAACACCGGCTTTTAGCTAGCTGGTGTGTTAGAACATTACGTACATGGGCGGATTTTCCAGTTGTTTAATCTGTTGCTGTAACTTATAAAGGTCGAAAGAACGTTGAAATGTAAAAAAAAAATACGTACAGCAACAGATTTCTCCGATCGAGCGTACGATGAAGCATACAACAGCATACGGAGAAGAAAAAGTTGATCCGCGGGCATGTTTATTACTGCTGCGGAAGCGAGTATCCGGTGATTCCATTGCGACGAACCAGCTGAGTAACCTCCGCCAATCCATTCCTACTAACGCGATAATATCCCAGTAGATATTCTAAAGAGCCCAGTGAAGATATGCAGCAAAGTGCCGTTGTGGCGCAATGAACGAGCATGTGGTAAGCACATCTTAAAGGTCGGTGCAATGAACGCAACACGGGCTGTTTTCCCAATGGAATGCTGTCTATAAATGTACGTACCACTGATCTGTACGCTGCTGCATGTGACGCACCTGAATAGCGCTAACATAATCGCGGGAAAACTGATCGTTGGAGCCAGGTTCGCTCACGTGCGGAGGCGATATTAACGATCATTACGGAAAAAGGAAAAAAAAACTTTGGTTTCCGGCAGCAGGGTTCCGGTATCTTATTCAGAACCGGACGTGGGTGGCAAACATCCGGCGTTCCAGGCGATGCAAAATCGGCAGGTACACAATCTCATTATCCTGCGGGTGGATACCCGTCCAGGAGAAGGGCCAGGATGAAGAAACAATATACGTAAAAACAGGCTAGAAAGTTAAATGGTATTTGCGGAGCATGTTTTCGTGTCCTTGGCTCTAATCTGGATCCTCGGCAGCCTACCGTTGCCTTTAGGAACAAAGATTATTTCTGCGCAGTTCAACTGCCCGTTCTGCTGCTCGTAAACACCTTCCTGGCATTTTGGATCTGAGTCATCGTTCAGCATTCCTTGAATGGCAACAAACAGGAAAATAGTCTACGTCCGCCGAGATTAGCTACAATTATTCAACTGTTCTTATTTCATCTAATATGGAAACAATTGCGGTTTCCCTCTATGTTTGTAATAATCTTTTAGTAAACGTTACGGTTTTGATGCCTGTACGTCTGCTTTTTATTTGACCGGCCGCGCCTTAATTGAAGGCAATAATTATTGCGTTGGCACGCGTTACTGAATGTACTACTTTCAAACCGCATGAGTAGAGAATTAATTACACCGCTAATATTTTGTATATACTCTTAGTATCTTATATCCAGAGTATGGCTAACATGGACGTTAATGCATCCAAATCATGCCGAAATATGATATTATTATTGCATGACTCTACCTTCCGGCATTTCCATGACGGTAGTCGGTATACTTGGCACTCGCTAGAAGGCTTTTCACACTAACAAACCGGTAGATTTAAAATCAATAAGCACTGAACCTGTACAACTACGGCAAAAGGCGGCGAGCTATGCGGTTGTAACCCAGTGTCTCACTAACTGCTACGCAGTCCTCGTGGATTTAATCTAAAATGTCTCTGTGAAGGCGCAGTAGCTTACGCATTCTTTCGGTCTACTTTTCGTGAAGAAGTTTCTCAGGAACACTACAGTTGCAAATTTGTAATTATGGGTGGAGAAATCCTCAGTATGTTGATGTTCGGAATAGTGCTGACTGGGATATCTTGCACAACACAGGGATCGAGCGCCATGCCCCCAGTTCAACCATCTACTGCCTTGTGCAGCCAGCCGGATCCGTTGACCTCCACCGCCGAACAGGTTCAAGTGGTTGCCGAGTGCGTCATAGCCATGAGGTAAAAACTAAAACTGACAAAAGTTGTTTAGTCCGTTTTCCATGCTGCTTGTAGCTGTTCCGACCAGCGTATCATGAGAACAGCAAAATTGCACATTTGTCCCAGGGTGGCTTTGCTGTTCCTAATCTAAATTTTAGTTTGGGATCTTTGTCGTGTATATATAGGACGATTTACTAGTAAATGTCTGTTAAGCTGAGACAGTGATCTCGTGCTTTTCCCGCTTCTGGTAGGGATTTACATAACGGCTCTGGTGATCTTTCGGTTGTTTTTTATATGCAGTACATACTATACTAGCAATGCAAACTCTGTACTATAGGGGGCAAAACTAAGCGTGTTCCACGGTTCCCCTGCATTGCTGCCGTCACCCGCCTGGAGCGTGACGTTACGGCAGTACATATGGTTAAATCTGGCGCGGTACATAAGCACCATGTTTAGCCACAACGTAAAACTCCAGCCGGGTGACGGGTTAGTGAATACCCAAACTACCACCAGTAGCACAAAGCCGCTACGTGAGTGAATACGGTAATTAAACGGGCTGCGGGCCGGCTTTCAGATATTTAGAAATTTAGATAAATAATAGAACAGATGCTTTAGATTGTGAGATATTGAGATACTCAGATTTCTAGATATTTTTATAATTTCGAAACTCTGGAGACTCAAAAAATTAGAGGTAACGGCCCAGTGCAGCGGGGCCGAGCCGAAATATTTAGAAATATTTCAAATTTTTGGAAATGTAAAAGCTTTTGAGCCGACTTTGGAAAAATTTATGGTTGAGGTATTCGAACGGATTTAAAAACATCTTAAAGTTCCAAGAATTTAAAGAAATAAAATTATAAGTTTGATGTAATAAATGTACTAAATAAATTATAAGTACTAAAATTATAAGTCAGTAAGTTAAGTAAGTAAGTAATAAAGGCTCCATATGAGATCAGTAACCCCTTAATGTCCAAGCGTACGCATTTTTGCGCAGCCTACAACACTGCTACTGTAGAACATCAGAAAACGGGTGTACTGCTCTGATTAGCGATGCAATGCACTTGATGTTGTGCCCTTGGCGAACACTGCGAACGCTGCGATTATAGGAAAACGACCTGCCACATATAGTAGTGCAAAAATTATGTCTATCCTTTGCACTGTAGGACACAATTTGTAGGACATAATATTGTAGACGCTCTTGGCAAACCGCAGCAATGTTGGCTTCGTAGTACGTGAGAACTTGAGCGTTTTGGCCGTACAAAAAATTTTTATTACTAATTGTTATTACTAACATTAATATAAGTACTTATCAGTTATTCATTGATACGACCACCGCGCTGTTGTGCATCTGCTACAGACTACTTTAGTACGCAGTTTACATATTTGTTATAATGGGATTTAGTTTACGCTATCATACTGTTTGTATAATCGTTATTTAATTTTATATCTTGTTTATTTTCCGAATTATGCGGTGATACATACTTAGGCTATTTAAAGTATTACTGCTCATTGCTTTAATCCCTACTCAGCATGATTATTTAAAAATCAGTACCAAGCAATTCAATAATTACAAATATATTCGTATTACTTTGTATTAACTGTAGCAGTGGCAGTACTAGTACCAAGTACATACGCTAATGTCACATAAACTGCTGTCCTAACCAGTAATCCAATATTCGCACGTATTCGCCAGATTCGCCAAGTTCAAATAAAGGTTACAACTTACAATGTATCCAGGATACGATAACATTATTACACATTTGGTACTCGTACGTAAATACGTCTAACCAATTTACTAACAGATCAATTTATTGATTAACCACGTCAAATACAGGTTTCGAAAGAAAATCCGCACAAATTTTTATAACTGGATCAGCAGTAAAAGGCAGTGCTGAATTAGCAATAAACAGCAGTTAGCAGCCACCTTGGCGAACTGTGCGAATGCTGCGAATATGGGGAAATCAAACGCGGCATATCTCCACTGACTTTAAGTGCCACCATGGCGAACTGTGCGAATGCTGCGAATATGGGGAAATCAAAACCAGCATGCATTCAGTGAACTCAACAGCCTCCTTGATGAACTGTGCGAATGCTGCGAATATGGGAAAATCAAACGCGGCATATCTACACTGACCTCAAGTGCCACCGTGGCGAACTGTGCGAATGCTGCGAATATGGGAAAACCAAAACCGGCATACATTGAGTGACTTCAACAGCCTCCTTGGCGAATATGCGAATGCTGCGAATATGCGAACATTAAACGCGGCATATCTACACTGACCTCAAGTGCCACCTTGGCGAACTGTGCGAATGCTGCGAATATGGGAAAATCAAAACCGGCGTACATTGAGTGACTTCAACAGCCTCCTTGGCGAACTATGCGAATGCTGCGAATATGGGAAAAATCAAACCCAGTATATCTCCACTGACTTTTAGTGCCACCATGGCGAACTGTGCGAATGCTGCGAATATGGGGAAATCAAAACCAGCATGCATTCAGTGAACTCAACAGCCTCCTTGACGAACTGTGCGAATGCTGCGAATATGGGAAAATCAAACGCGGCATGTCTACACTGACCTCAAGTGCCACCTTGGCGAACTGTGCGAATGCTGCGAGTATGGGAAAATCAAACGCGGCATATCTACACTGACCTCAAGTGCCTCCTTGGCGAACTATGCGAATGCTGCGAATATGGGAAAATCAAACGCGGCATATCTACACTGACCTCAAGTGCCTCCTTGGCGAACTGTGCGAATGCTGCGAGTATGGGAAAATCAAACGCGGCATATCTACACTGACCTCAAGTGCCTCCTTGGCGAACTATGCGAATGCTGCGAATATGGGAAAATCAAACGCGGCATATCTACACTGACCTCAAGTGCCTCCTTGGCGAACTGTGCGAATGCTGCGAATATGGGAAAATCAAACCCGGTATATCTCCACTGACTTTAAGTGCCACCATGGCGAACTGTGCGAATGCTGCGAATATGGGGAAATCAAAACCGGCATACATTCAGTGATCTCCGCAGCCTCTTTGGCGAACTGTGCGAATGCTGCGAATATGGGAAAATCAAACGCGGCATATCTCCACTGACTTTAAGTGCCACCATGGCGAACTGTGCGAATGCTGCGAATATGGGGAAATCAAAACCAGCATGCATTCAGTGAACTCAACAGCCTCCTTGATGAACTGTGCGAATGCTGCGAATATGGGAAAATCAAACGCGGCATATCTACACTGACCTCAAGTGCCACCTTGGCGAACTGTGCGAATGCTGCGAATATGATAAAATCAAAACCGGCATACATTGAGTGACTTCAACAGCCTCCTTGACGAACTGTGCGAATGCTATTCTGGTGGCTGCAGGCATCATTGCATTATATCGACGACGCCGAATAATTTAAGCGCTAAGAAATGCTCAAGTAAGGCCGCCCACATAAGGCACCAATTACGATCCAGTGTTGAAACATTAAGAATAATTAATACCCTTTATTATGTACTGCGGTAAAATAAAGGGTGACACTATAGGCACCCTAAAAACCCCCGTTTACTATAGGCACCCCTTTTCCGCACCCCGTTAATTAAAGGCACCCTTATCTTATTAATTGATTCTTTCGTGCACCCTGTCTTTTATAGGCACCCCTATGAAACTTTAGCATATTATACTGTAATTGTAGTGTTAGAACCTAGAGTAGGGTAGATACGGTAATGTTGAAAACTACTGCTTGTACGCTGTTGTTGTGCAAGATCGCCACGGGAAAGGTCGACCAGTTGCACTTTGTTTTATGCCATACGAAAGAAACCACTATATCGACGCGTTTTTCACCGCTTTTAAAAACTGCCACAAAGACTGGGGGTAAGGGAAAACTTTGGTGTCCGAAAAGAACCCAAGGAGGCCACCTGGTGTTCGAAAAGAACCGACAGAAAACCGGCATCCAAAATTACAATTGCGAAACGAAACATCAAACTTACCGCCGACGATGCCATCCTCATTAGATCTAAGATAGCAGATTAGCCTCACCGCCCGATCATCGGATGGAAAGCCTGATTCTGTCTGTATGCGAGTATCTGTATGAGACTGACGCACGTACCGTACATGAAATCATTTTCGAGTTCTGTATCCCAAATATGCTATTAAAGGGTGCCTATAAAATACACTGACAGGGCGTTTCTATTTAATAAACAGAAAAGGGTGTCTATAAATTACGGGGTGCGAGAAGGGGTGCCTATAATAAACGAAGGTGTAAGGGGGTGCCTATAGTGATTTCCTGAAATAAAACTTAACGTACGCAATTATTATACGTACGTACGAAGTACTAGACTCGTGCATCACCAACAACATAGCCTAGATATCGTCAAATACTCTTTGCAGGTATTACAAGTACATAATCGTAAGCGTGATAAATACGACCGTTTTCTGGAAGTACATGCCATATGCGTTAACATATGGCACGTATCCGTACACGAGTATCGGGCTTTCCATCCAACCCTTCCGAAGAGGATATCGGACTTTCCATCCAACCCTTCCGAAGAGGATACCCGTTGCAAGAGTGAAGAATCTTCACCGACCCTGCCCAATCAAAGGACCTGATTTCGATCGCTTTCCTATAATTCACGAAGAGGATGTAATAACAGGTTATGCCTTATAATACCTAACAATGTGTTAGGAAAATGTGAAAATCAGATCTGGCGTGCCGTTGCGTTTGCTACTAAGATTTACCTTTGAAGCGATCTTGGCGAACGCTGCGAATGCTGCGAATATGGGAAAATTAGACCCAGCACGCAGTTCGGTATGTTAACTAAGATTATTCTTCAAAGAATAATCAAAGAATGCTCTTGGCGAACGCTGCGAATGCTGCGAATATGGAAAATTAGACGCAGCACGCAGTTCGGTATGTTTACTAAGACTGACCTTTGAAGCGCCCTTGGCGAACGCTGCGAATATGGGAAATTCAGACCAGGTATGCCGTTGTGTATGTTTACAAAGGCTGACCTTTGAAGCGCCCTTGGCGAGCGCTGTGAATGTTGCGAATATGGGAAATCAGTTCCGGCATGCCCTTTGGTATGCTTACTAATACTACCTTTCAAAGCACCCTTGGCGAGCGCCGCAAATGCTGGGAATATTTAAAAATCAAATCTGGCATATCTACATTTCACAGTAACCTCAAAAGCCACCTTGGATAACTGTGCGTATGCTGCGAATATGGAAAAGCCATACCTGGCATACCTGAAGAGACTTCAACAGCAGCCTTGACGGACTGTGCAAATACTGCAGAGTCTTGATTAATTTAAGGTCTGACTGCCAAACTCACCTCAACAGTTCAACTCATCTAAAAAAACTCACCGCGTGCAGCTGGCAAGCGCCAAAACTGCCGTCAGCCATTGACATTGTTAATGGCTGAGTATAAACCGAAAGACTCATTTACACTACTACCTTTTTCCAGATAAACGCGGATTAGCTCTCAAGAGATGCACTGCTGGCGCTGCTACTGCAACTTGTGTTACAAATTGCGTACGTAAATTGCGTACGCTACTTATATGAGGTTACTGATCTCATTCTTTACCGTAATAAACTATAATAAGCAAGTAATGTAATAAATTATAAGTTTTGATGTACTAAATTATAAGTTGTACCTTTAACGTAAAACTGCGTTAAACGTGCAGCAGCAATTCTCCACATTTAAAAATATGGGTTGCTAGATACAAAATATATACTCCCACAACCATGTATCTAGAACCTTCTAGGAGCTAACAACATTAATTTGGTACTACAACGTACGTATTACTAAATTTAAGTACTACAACTTTCAAAAATTCATGATACGCCGGCGATTAAGTGATAAGTACTGTGGGTACTAGATACCGTACTACTACTTACTGCAACCTAGCAAAGTACTACTACACTGCTACATTTAAGTACTACTACCTTTAAGCACTAAAAACATTTAAGTACTACAGCTTTTAAAAATTTTTTTAGACCTTCTTCAAAACTTGAGAGTTTTTTAGAGATAAAAGTAGGAACGTTTGTGCGATGCTCTACTTTATAAAATTATCAACTTATTGAAAAAATCAATCCTGATTTAGGAGATAATTTTCAAAAAATAAAGACGTAAGGATATGTAATGTATTAATCTCCTTAATTTTTCTTTTTGTTTTTCTTTTTCATATTTTCAGTGTAACTTTATATTGATGATCTAGCCAACTCAAAACTTTATTTTTTTGGTACGACAGATAGTATTTAAACGGTGATAAAATAGATGGCGTGGGATCACTTACACGATGCCCATAAAATACCATTAAGCCGATATTTCGGCGCAGAATTAATGAAACTTGTGGGAAACCATAAACAGTTGCTCAAAAGTGACCTCGCAGACTGCATCTTTAGCTACTAATTGCAAGATTTGGTAGTGTATTATAATATATTTAGTAGTGTATTAATATTATATTTATTTGGTGATAAAATGGATGGCGTGGGATTAGCTACACCATGCCCTTAAAACACCATTCAGCTGACATTTTAGCGCAGAATTAATGGAAACTTGTGGGAAACAATTGATAGTTGCTGAAAGTAACCTCGCACACTGCATCTTTAGCTACTCACTGCAAGATTTTCAGCCATTCAGCCAGCTGTTCACTATTTAAAAAAATAAATTAAATACAGATTTATTAGATTTAGAGGTAGAGATTAGTGAATACTGAATACCTGCGCTGCCATAGATATCAGTATACAAAGTAACGTAGGTTAGTGAATGCCCAGGCTACCACCAGTACCACAGAGCCGCTACGTTAGTGAATACAGGAAGATAACGGGCCGGGGGCCGGCTCTTAGATATTTAGGAATAATTAGATACTCGTATAAATTAGACACTTCAGACCGTGAGATATTGAGGTACTCAGATTTCTAGATATTTTCAAAATTTAGAAACTCTGGAGGCTAAAAATATCTAGAGGTAACGGCCACGCTGCGCGGGGCCGAGTCGAAATATTTAGAAATTCTTGAAATGTAAAAGCTTTAAAGCGGGCTTTGGAAGAATTTATAGTTATTTGGAGGTAATCGAACGGATTTAAGAACGTCTTAAAGGTTTCAAGAATTAAAAAAAATAAAATTGTGTTTGATGTAATTGGCAGTTTTAAATAACTATTGTTTAAGTTGCTAAGTTGCGAACTCTCTAGAAGCTAACAGCATTTAAGCACTACAACCTGTAAGTACTAACAACCCTTAAGTATTACAACTTTTAAAAAAATTTTTAGACCTTCTCCAAAACTTAAGATTTTTTTAAAGATAAAGGTAGGAACGTTTATGCGATGCTCTATTTTATAAAATTAACAACTTATTGAAAAAATGAATGTTGATTTAGGAGTTAATTTCCAAAACTAACAACCTTTAAGTACTACCATCCCTTAAGTACTGCAACTTTTTAAAATTTTTTAGACCTTCTCCAAAATTTAAGATTTTTTAAAGATAAAGGTAGGAACGTTTGTGCGATGCCTTATTTTATAAAGTTATCAACTTATTGAAAAAATCAATCTTGATTTAAGAGATAATTTCCAAAAAATAAGGACGTAAGGATATATGAATCTATTGATATGCTGTACACACATCGTGCAGTATACGTACCACTATCCAAGCTTCTCCCGTAATTTTTACCGTAAAGGTACAGATGAAAAAAATTGAGAGCGAAAATTGCGCTATAAACGGTTTCCATTACACTATCTGTACGCCTGCACAATGACCTCTTCAGATTTAAAATAATTTGGTTAACGGAAGTTAATATTTTATCATTTTAATCGCTAGTTTATAATTTAGTATGAGCCATGCCAAATGCATGTATTCTTGTAGAGCACATAAAACAATGATGGGCTGCTTCTTACCTTAGAAATACGTATTATATCCAAAGTAATTTCCAGCATAAATATAGCGAACCAGTGCAGTTGTTCAGACGAATGCGAACGCGTTCTCTGCGAACAATCGCAAGTAATAATAAATTTTTACCACAACCTTCTGCTTCAGCGCCCATCTGCAACAACTGGCCCACGGGATTCCCAGTCACACCCGCAAGACATCATGGCGCCCTATCGAAGCACTACGATCGGCATACAGTATCAGCGCTCCTGCGGTTGATAACTCTGCTCTTCAGCCGGTCAACACTAGGCCAGTTGCCCCCGTCGTTCCCTCGGGGTACGTCCAGTATAACGGGCCTCCCCCATCTTCATGGGTACAACGCCAGCTGGACCAGTGGAAATGCTTCATGTGCTGCCATCCGTTTGCAGTCGGTTTGGCACTGAGCATTGCAGCCTCCCTCATACTGGACATGGTGCGACGAATTTTTGCCGGATCTGCGAATCGGAGTGTCCAGACCAGGCAGACCCTGTGGAGAACTGTCCTGCGAATAACACTGCTGGATGTGCCGCTGACCGCTCTTCTCTACTGTCTGCTTACCTGGTATTTTTAGTCTTTGGTAACTCTCCCATCGAAAACGGTTGTGTTATGTGGGGCCGCAACGAAAACCCGCCACACAAACTGGGTTTTCTTTCGCGACCAGTGAGTACGCATTGATCTGCATTAAAAACTATATAAAAACTACTGTGTAAATTTGTACACTTTTACGGTCCGTATAGTTCAAATGCTGAAAAAGTTCATTCAGGTGCGAAGCACATTGAAGTGTGGTAGAAATTATTATGGTTATGTATTTCTAAGTTTAGTAGTAGTATTCTCATGTTTTGCCCTTGTGGCTTTTTTGTTTATGTTTACACCCACGTATTTTGGGCTAATATTATTATTGTTAACGTCGATTGCCATCAACGAAGCCTGTCGTAGGGCTTCCTGCGACAGCAGTGAAATGACGTTTGATTAAAAAAATGCTTAAAAGTGTATCTGCTGTCTTCTGGCCAGAGGTTGTTGTTCAAAATGCCGCCTGACATAAGGGCGACAACTCAGCTGAATATTTCTTATCAAAAATTATACAGCGAAAGCTTTTCTCATACGAATAATACAAATAATAATACAGGGTGCAGATCTTCGTCGCTTTTGATTATTTAAGAAACATGGGTTACATGGCACAAGTATGATTTGTAATATCGCGTCCTACGTGTTCCTACGTGACAAAGCTTTCTTCCTCACTAAATGATTCGCGTCTGCATTGACGCTGTGTTTTCGTACAGTCGGTGGACAAACGATCGATACTTATAATGATCACTGAATTACGTGACCTTTACCGCATTGCATAGGCTAAAATACCTTGCGTAGAGAACGGCTGCCGCTTCGCCTTAGGCTGATTAGGGGAAGCGATTCAAAGAGCACGTCTTAAACGGCGATGCCGGAGATAGACATTAACATTGTGATTCGTTCCTTAACGAACCCTTATTGATCGATTACCACGACTTCCTGTTGTGTGCGTTAAAAATGCCATCCAGTTCGTACTCGTCCCGTGCTCACATTTACTGCGTGTGGCGGACAGCAAAACCGAACCGGAAAAGTGGAAAACACCAGCTAGTACTGCCGATCACAGTTGCTGCATGAGCCTGCATCAGCAGCAGACACCACAGAAAATTTACATTTGTTTGCTGTTAGTTTAACGGCTGTTTCGCTGTCTGGACCGAAGGCTGATTTGTATACCCAAGGTAAGAATAGCGATAATTACACGCGCGATTTCGATAGCAAAAAAGGAGAGGCATAAGCAACTACGATTAAACGTTAAATTTCTTCCAGAGACCATAGCATAATGGGTAATCGGTGCGTGGAAAGTTGTCTCCTGCTGTGGGCGGCACTAACAGGGATAGCGGCATGCCGTAGTGACAACGTAACCGTTACAAATCACACTACTGTTCCTGCAGCGTGCCCACCGCTGAATTGCTCACTGCCCGCCGCGGAGCACATCTTGGCGCTTATCGACGAGATGAAGAAGCTCAAGTAAGCAAAAGAAGTAATCTTTCCATGTTCTTACTACAAATTTCAACCAAAATGGTAACCTTTTTTTTTCTTTTTTTTTGCAATTAACAACTGACCCTACTTCGTAACAGACTGTAACATTTAACATATGTTCTATCATCTCCGTTAACCAGCTTCGTCCGTTATTATTTCAATCAGCAGTTAACGCCAGTTTGCTGAACGTTGTCATTTTTAGCATTGTAAACGCTTTATCTGTTTAGTCACCTCTCGAAAACATTAAGAAGCACTATTAAACCCTCTCATGATAACATCTTACGGGCGTCAGCAGCTGAATTTTAAACATTTTTTTCCAAACAATTATTTACTGTATTTTTGGTTACTTAATCCAGACGCAATCTTTTTCCGTGGGTTATAACGCATAATTATGCGAAATTATATTGTTTTGTAGAAGTATGTAACAAAAGTGCTTGCAAGATTTTTCCCGAATACGAAACCATCAATCGTTTTATATTTCTGCAGTTGGTTTTTAAAGCAAGCACTGGATATTGACTCGAATGACTCCACCAAAGAATTTACTAACGAAACACCTCAAACGTCCGGTCTTCGCTCGTTCCCCTTTTCCAAGTCCACCATCGTTACGCCCGCCGCCGTTGCTCATGCTCACGAGCCGCACGACAGCGGCGTGACTCGTCCACGCTCGGGAATCGTCACGCGGGCGGTTCTCCATGGCCTGGATAACTTTGTCTACAACCACACCATCCTCTTTATCGTCCTGCTGGTCATCGGAATGGTGCTGCTGCTATTAGTGCTCTTCTTTACTCTGGCCGCCCTCATCGACGCCATGCTGGAACGGGATCTGCGGGGACGCCTGCAGCTGGCCGGTCGGATTATCATCGTGTTCCTGGCGGGCGGCGTGGTGGCTGACGTCTTTCTTCACCGTTGTTCATGAAGCAGTTGATGTGGCGCTTTCAGTGCGCGTTATTAAATTACGCGTTATTAATTAGGTGTTCATACAATAAAAAATTTAAATTGTAATGTAGCAACACTTATGTCATAAATTTGTAGCAACGTAATAAAAAAATAATAGTTACGCAAGGCTTAAAATTTGACTGATTAAAGGTTAAACCTGTGTTTCAAGGTTTTTGGCTCACTGAAAGTTCACGCAAATGTACGGTGAAAAAAACTTTGCTTGCGCATATTTGACCCACCCTATTAAGTCAGCACGCTTCTGTCTTCTCTGTTATAGTCTGTGTTCGTGATACCCTCAGAAGCGATTTTTCACTGAATTTTCGAGCCGCGAACCGGCTGGCCAATTTGCACTGTTTTACATCTATGTTGTATACACGTATTTGTGTAATAAAATTGTTTGCTTAAAACGTTTCCTGGTTTTTAAATACTTTTTCCGGAAGTAATTTGTACAGAAGTAAGTAAAAAGGAAGATAACTGCCGGCTGTCGCTTTTGTCACGAGTTGTCAAAATTCTGCGCAGTCCATTCGCGCACTGTAGCTGTATAATTACTTTCCGGCTACATATTTCCTGAGCCCAGCTGAAGTGGCAGGCACTTATAAAACAATCATGGAAGAAATCATTAATTTTCCTGAATGTATTAATCGGTTGAACGTTAACGCGCCGCAGTCATGAATCCATCTGACCAGCAATCAGTGCAGTGCACACTTACAGCAAAACCGGTATTTTGCTAGCTCTTCGCGGATTGTATCGATTAACTCAGCGTGCGCCGTGTACGTACGACGGCGCTGCACCTGCTCCGTAAATACCTGCTGCTTTCTTCGTACAGCATTCATACACACACAATCCATCTCTGCACACTTTCCGCAAGGTGCCGTCGCGGCGAAAAGAAAACACTCGTTGAGCCAGTCACACCAGTGTTGTCACTCTTTCAGTTTCCTTCTTTTATCACGCGCTAAATGCCACATCATGATGTGATATCCATTGTCGTGTAATCCTCTTAACAGCATCCAACAGAAAAGGATTTAAATCTTCTTTGGAGGGGTTTGCTTCTCACGGTGTAGCACTGCTGGGAATATTTGTTGTACAGCGTCCAGCGGATTAGGAATGGGCGCGGCGCCCTGTTTACTGTCGCTGGGCACTATATGCGGCTGTATCGCTGTGGCCTGCGTGGCCATCGCGTTCAGTACGGACAATTGGCTGGAGTACTCGGTGAACCGGGTGGCGATTCTGACCACGATGAGCCAGACGTCCGATGATCCACAGTACGCGGAGGTCCCGTTGAATCTTAACCGGACACTGATTTATTTCCCGCGGACCATCGGGTTGTGGCGGATATGTTTCCCTATGGAGATACCATACGGTAAGAATCACAATCTCTTCGCGAAAAATGAAAACGCTTAGTTGTAACGAATACGGAGCAGAACACGCTCGTCTTCTGTTTTAACTCCGATGCTGGCTATTTACGCGCACTGTTTGTGTGTTCTTGTTGCACCGTAATTGTTAATTTTGTTCTTAATTTTTTAACTCGAAAAATTGTCCATAACTTTATTTCATGTGGCATATTGTATAACAGTGTTTCTAGAACATCTTGTGTAGCTCCAGAATAAATATTGCGTTTAAATTTTATGTCAATTTCAATTTGCCGTATCTCACCAGAAGAATGGCGTGTTTTTAGGCCAATTAAGGCGATTAAGTGATTGGGTATAGAGCGATATTAAACACTAAAAAAAAGTGCTAAACGTTGCGAGAAATGTATCCAGTGGTGTGTATGCGGGAATGTTGGCGCCCCGCGGCGCGACACTTTTTCCCCAGCCGGTTTTGGCGCGGGCTGGTTTTTGACTAATTTTGTTTTGCTGTGTCAGCGTGTCTCGAAAACGTGGATTGCCTTGCATGGAAGTGGTCCTTCTTAATATGTCGATGCGCCAGTTTTCTTTAGTTAGGCAAAACACTTCCAGATTCACTAAGCAAATAATCCATCAAAAAATAGAAATGTTTTTGCATTTGTGGGCCTTAAATCTACCCAAAGTTGTGTCTGATAAAAGTAAACAATATCCAGTCAAAAAATATTACTATTTTTTACCAAAATTTCAAGCATTTTCAGAGCGTATTTTCAGAATGGGCTAAATAAATTCACAAAAACTGGATAAAATCAGCACATATGAAATTTTATTGATTTTTTTGTATTATGCGCTCGTATTTGTCAGAAGATTTTAAGGACAAATTTCAGATTTAGTGTGATCTGTTTTCAATAGCGACCTTCTTCGATTTCCGGGAAATAGGTGGAAAACATTAATAAACATCATAGAAACTGCGCATTTAATGCCGTTGCACCGGTAACTGGCTGGTTGATCGTTGTATAACGCTAACCCGAATGATTTCCTCTCAATAATCTGAGAAATCCATCACGGCGGACATGTCGCTTGAGAGATCGATGCAGAAGCGTGGAAAATGCATACAGCAACATATGTCCATTACATCGATAACGAGGCAGGTAGATTTGCTTAGAGCCGCTCGATTTGCGCGGCTCGCTAAGTAGGTTAGCTAATAACATATCGATACACGGTAGACGCGATGTTACAGTGCAGCGCGTTTTATTGTGCCGCTTGTCTCACGTGTCCGATCCGCTCGGTGTTCCGGCGGAACAATATTTTCTGTTCTAGATTGGGGGCACTGCCAATGTGAAGAATAATATAAAACTGCGGCGCAAGAAGCAGTGGAGCATAGCGAGTGGACAAGTTCACAGTGGCCGCGGTGAATATCGACGGTGCAGTTATAATTATGGCCGAGTGCAACCGGTGTAACAGGCTGTTCGTGTAAATGCTACGTAGCACAACAAGTGCAGCTTCGCGCTCCCGTGTGGTGTTATTTTCATGGCCAATAAAAATATCAGAACGCCGCTAATTTCTGTCCACTAGAAATCACCGAGGAATTGTCAGAAATATTCGATGCCGAATTTTTAGGAATAATTTTTTTAAAAGGGTTTGTTTTATTCACTTTAATTCGTCGATTATGAGTGGGAAATTAGTGAGTGATAAAAGCTCAAGCTGCTGTTGATTTCTGTCTGCTCAAAATTGCTAACTTTTAGCCAGATTATTTTCAGCTGTGCCTTTTTAATTTTTCCAGATAAAATTTCTACCAAATTGTTACTGTAATTAAATTTTTTTCATTGAATTTCATAAGTAGAATTAACAAGTACGGGAATATTTCAATTTTTTCTTACCTGATAGCGACACCTTTCTAAGAAATTGAGTTTGCGTTTTGGGTATAATAAATTCAGTTTAAAAGTTTGGAAAATTCTTGAAGTGTTCTTTAATTTGTTTTCAATTTTCATCTGCAATATTTGTAAAATTTTGTAGGGGTAATTTTCTGGTGTTAGTTTGCTATGACAAGTGTGTCTAGCAAAGCAAAAATGAGTAACTTTTCGAAAAATTCTGGTAACAAAGAATTTTATGATTAATTGGCACTCACCATAGTCGGCCGATGAATAATTTCGCAGAACATTTTCAATTTGTGTGTTGTGTTTGTCATCGATATTAGCGATCCGGTGGGTTATTGAAAATTTCCGCCGCATAATGCGCGGCAATTGACTCACGTGTTAACATCCGTGTTCCTTTCGCTCTTTTTCCCGGCGGGCATGCAGCAAGTTTTAAGCGGTGTTAATTTTCTTTTGACAGTTAATTTTTCACTACCGAACGTCGGATCAGAATCTTAAACAGCATTATAACCGATTGCGACGTGCCGTTCGGTGCGAACGCCATTTTTATCGCTCCGACCGGTGTGTTTTGTAGCCTTGAACGGTTTCCGTGCTGTAACGACCTCATCGATCAAGGAAGCAGATTTTTCCATCGATAACCTGAACAAATAATAAAACTATCAGATAAAAAATTAAAATAATTAATAAACCGTTCTAAAATAATTAAAAAAAATTAGAAATCTTGAAAAAATAAAAGAATTAAAAAATTTTAAAGCACGTTTACGGTATTTAAATCATAGAAAAATCTCTCTAATTATACAAACAAAACTTTGGGAATTAAAAAAATTAGCATCACCAATTTTTATATAATTTTTGGTTATCGTTTATTTTGTTTAATTTATTGTTTGAATATTTAAACAATTATTCTTTAGCTTAACAAAATAATATCACATTTCGCTTTACAACATTTCCTTAAAAAATTTCATTATTTGCGCTATATATTTTTATTTTGTGTGTTTACATAAATATTTCGCATTTTGATTTTATTTAAGAAATTTTTGTATTTTATTTCTTGAGTTTTTATTTGTTTTTGTTTGTTTATGCGTGCAGTTTATTGAAGAAGGATATCTTGACAAACAAGGTTGGCGTTGAAGGAGAAAATCATCGGCATCATGACCACAGCCGCGGTGTGGTAATCCGATCTGGGTTTACGTGTGTAATTGTTGTGCGGCGGGGGATATTCGACATTTGTTTGCGCTGACTGCTCCACGCATGGTTTTGCGTTACGCGGCTGTCGAGTGCGCTGGTTGCGTGTTTAGATGAAAAGAGAAAATCAACTGACCATTAGCATAATCACTGCGTAAAGATGCTGGCACTGCGGTGGACACCCGCAAAGCGTCTTTTGTGCTCATACTCGACTTTCCGGCCAATATACTTTCGCTGCGGCCTAATTAATGCCCATTAATATTTATTGCTCATTTTCTCATGCTTGTCAAACCAGTGAAAAAATAGGAAAATAACAAAAATTCGGGTTTTTTATCTTTTCAGCCGTTTAATTACAAAGCTGTTACATTACCATTTTCTGGGTAATTTCTTCAGAAAACTTTACACAGTAGAAAAAATTGCCGCTAAAGTTAAAAAAAATATGGAAAACCAATTTATAAAAATTAAAAAATAAGTCATGTATAATTTATAATTTCTCGAAAATAAAAATTAATAAAATTTAGAATTTTCTGCGACAGAATTTAAAATAAAATGAATTATAAGGTCAAAAACAGCAATTTCATTCTTTTTATCATTTATCGAAGAACACAAATTGTACTTAAATCAATTTCTACTAAAATATTAACCAAAAATAAGTGTTAATGTTTGTTTTTATTTCTTTGAGTATTAAAAATTATGTCATGCTAAAAATTTTATAACAATTCTTCATGGCGCATGCAGAGTATCCGATTATCGGCGTTATTTACGCCGTTGCGCAACCAGCACACAAATCCGCTAGAAGTTCCACCGTTATGGAATATTACGGCGCGGAATGTTTGTGCAAGTTATTAGTGTGTGTGCAACAATTTTGCCTCATGTTTCCTCTATACAGCACGGCCGATATCGCTGTTTGCACAAGTAGTTCACAACTCGTGCGGTTTACAGTTCAAACAGCGATTATGAGCCGGGGAGAAAAAACATCAGCGAAAAATGCCGTGCAGCCCCGGCATGCGGAGAGTTCGGTGGCAGAGGTGAATATAATCGGCAAGACAAATTTACTCAACAGGTTTACACGCGGGTGTAATATGCCGTTGCCGATCATCATCTTACCGCGTTGCGTTGCTGACCAGGGGATACATATGTAGAATATCGTACGCTGAGTGCTTGACCAGAGAAAAAATGCCGATTAAATGCACCCCGGCAACAATAACACGTTTCCCACCAGACAAACACACCCGCTGCAATAATAAATTATCGAGCTGTTTTTTGCTGACATCCCCAACGTTGCAGCAAAATATGTCTCACAAAATTTTAATAAGAATATTTTTTGATTTTTTTTTGAAAATTATTTTCCTATTTTTATTTTTAATGTAACGTTACTACTGTTTTGTAAATACAGTAGCTTGATTACAGATACAGTATAAATGAGCAAAGTTCATTTTGAAAGAAATTTGCGCAAAAAAAGCAATAAAATTTCACAACAGGAATGCGAAATTTTTAATCCAAACTTCCATAATTCGCAGCATAAATATTGCATTTTTCTAAGTATTTTGGGGCCTAATTTAGGCACAGTTTTTCAAAATTAAGCTTTTTTTTGCCCGGTTCTTTTTGGCAGCTAACCGATTCAAAAGGCATTTAAATGTAGTAATTAATTCGCATGAAAAAACTGCGTAGCCTAAAATTGTTTAGCAATAAAAGCAAAATTTTTTACGAGAAGTTTAAATATGCAGTTAAAACATCTAAGCAAAATACAGTAGCATTTAATTTATATATACTCTTATAACTTTTAATCGATCAGCTGTATATGACTGCAAAAGCTTATAGGTTATTGTGGCTTTATTAACGCAAAAGAGAAATTTGAATTAACTTTTTTTTGGGCAATTTGTTAGCTTCTACAGTAGAAATTATAGAGACTACATTGTTTACAGTATTTCGTGAATGTTTATTCTTTATCAGGAAATTAATTTTATTATTTTGTTTTACACAGGCGTTGATGTATATCGATCTCCAACGGACACCAGTTGCGTGAACGTCGACTACCCGAAAGATCTGGATAGCGGGATGGACGCGTGGAATCGTGCTCGCGTCCGTAAGTAATTCACGTGACCTTTATTTGGCTAAAAGCCGCGCTCACCAGGAACTACACGGCTTTTTATACATTTCTAATTACCGGCTAAACACGCTCCTCTGACGCGCTCCCTTATTCAGCACAATTATACTTAGCGGCCGACAAATGCCGAATCAATAAACAGGCATATATTCTACCTGGCCCACCACTTCCGGTGGAGAGTGGGAAAGCGTGCTAGAGGATAATACACAGCTGGTGTTTATCTCGAAACGGGAGTGTATGTATTGATTCATGACGATTGCTTTGTGTAGATTTGATGCGGACGATTCTGGCGCTGTTCATTGCTGGATTCGCCATGGAACTGCTGAGCTTCTTTGTGGGAGTGTTCGGCTGCTGGCGGAGGAGTCCCGGCTTGTTGGTCACGACCGGAACTTTCATGATATTAGCCTGTACGTTTACGGTTAAAAGCGCTGTAAGATACACTCCAAAAATTTTTAGAAAAACAATTATGCAAAGTGTACCTTGAATTACATATTATAATAACAAATTCACAATTATGGCTGAGAAAAATTTCATAAAATAAATTTAAGACCTTACCGAAAATGTTTCTTGTATGGAAATACTTAAATTTATATTTATTCATAAAAATTATATTAATAATATAATAATTTATATTACATTTATTAAATTATTTTCAGTTTCTTGTATACTAAAATAATTCAATAAATTATTTGCTATTATGAAAACATTTTGACAAAAAAGGAGAAATCTTTTTAATAATTCATGGTCAATGAAATCAGTTTGTTCATCACAAGCTGTGAAACAAAAAATCTATGGATTTTTAAATTAAGCGAGGTGCCGCTCATATTATACAGTTTGCGACGGATTAATTTCTTTCCTTTCCATAAATTATTTAAATATATTTAAATAACTTATGGAAAGGAAAGAAATTAATCCGTCGCAAACTGTATAATATGAGCGGCACCTCGCTTAATTCAGGCGCGGAAGTGATAAAGTGTTATGTTTATCCTGATTTGCTTGGCACTAAGTTAAACATTAACGGGAACATTCAAATTACACCCAGCAATAATTTCACACGAATAATTATGTTGCCATTTATAACTAGCATAACGTCGTATATAATAATCGATAACGTAACGCACATATGTAGACTACATTGCGTTGTGCTTTCAGGGTTATTAGACGCGGGTGCCCTGGCGATTTGGCACGGTGTGGATTACATGGAGACCAAGCGCATGCAGTTTCCCACCAATGTATACTACACATACCGCACCTGGCCTCCGGTGCGTATTATTAATTTATTAATGACGGTCTCATTAGTACAATCGATGCTAATCATGTTACTTTATATAATCCGTTATTTTATTACGTGCTTTTATTCATGCTGTTCTCTCACCTTTCCTTTATAAAAACCGTTGTATAACTGTTGCTTAACGTTACAATATCAGGCGCATGACCATTAAAAGCCGCTTGAATTTTGTCAAATTTTATTGTTATTATAAACATTATATAACCAAGGCGTCAGCTTTATTATTCTTTTATTAAGTTTATGAATGTAAATGATGACCCCACAAATAAAAATAGACAAAAAAATGAAAAGGAGAAAACAAATTTTAAAACAACTGGAAAGAGGTGTTTTACAAATTTTAATTGTAATAAATCAAAGAAATTTTTAAGGATTAGTTTACAAATAAAGAATTCTGTGCTCCGGGAAAAACGATTTCTCAAAGCTTTTTTCAAACCGAAGGTCATCTGCTCTACGTATTTTTAAACATTATAGTTTTGATAATGATTTTTGATAAGAAAATAACAACATTTTTTCTATTTTTGGCAGATACTACAGCAGTACACCACGCGGAACTACAGCTGGTCGTTTATGCTGGCGTGGATCGGCTGCGGGATGGCACTGGTGTCGGCCATGTTCCTGTTGGGCGGCGCAGCCAGTCTGCGAGCTGAGCGCCGTCGCGAGAAGGAACGCAATGCTCAATACATGCTGCCGGTGTACGGGAATTACGGAGAGAAGAATGCGCCCTACTACGCACACGCCTATCCGGGACCGCACTATTACTACAGCTCTAACAGCTATCGTTATTAATTGCGATATACTTATTATGTTCTCCCAATTTTTTTGATGTACAGTTTACCTTGCCAATGTTTCCATAAACGCATTACGTTGCTAAAAATCCTAGAGTAGAATACCGTATGTTACCCAATGAATACTATCCGGGCATGCAACGTATCGTGCCAATTCAAAAAAACCTGACGATTTTCGACATCGTTATCAGAAATTAGAATTCAACTTGAAAACACTGCTACTCATACGGTAATTAAGTAACTCAGTCCTAGCTAAAATCTAATGTTCATTTTACAAAATACACTTAATGATAGCGATTTTTACTTATTGCTAATTTTGCAAAAACTTGTTAATTTTACAAGATATTAATACAAATAAGGTTTATTCTCGGGTTGAACATTATTCCCGAGTGAAACCTGGAAAAGTAGAACCCAGAGGTCACAATAACGCGTCACAGTGTGGCAATAATGCTGCCAGGAGAAAATTAATCCTTGGCCTTGTTGACAATTGCAGGTGCGATGGGATCAAAGAGCCAGAGTATAACCATTAACCATAACAATAGCTAATGCAATCTACTTAACTGTGCATGTGGTAATAACAACCCTAGATTTCTCCAGAAATGTGCGTCTGCGGTGGGAGGTCATTTAATCCGACAGAATTTTTTGCGCTGTTTTCGACGCAAAGCTGGCGGGCACAAATAGGGCAGTTCTATTGAGTGACTGCCTTATCACCGCTTTACACAATGCCGGTCAGAGGTATTCGTGCCTGCTGTGTTCTCTCTCCATTCTCCATTACGCTGCGTAAGCCGATATTGCCACAACAGGTAGGCATGAAATTAGCCTCAATGTCTTTCATCCATTGAATGTCCCGGGCCGGGAGAATCGAAAAAATCGTAACTAAAGACGGGATAAGGTCACGACCAGCCAACAGCAGCGCGGAGGATCGTATATTTAATTGATCTGTTCCGGCGCCACGCAAATCCGTCCAGTGCATTACGTTTATTCTTGGCTGTTGTCGGCAACTCTAGTAAAGTCATTTGGACTGCCATTCGGACTTTTAAAGTGGTGACCTTTACCAGCCAGCCCCTTCGATTATATTGTATCTGTTTCTTGGGAAGTTCGTTATCATGACGCTATCAGAAATTTTCGGTTGGATGGGTGATGCTTTTGTCAGTATTGCAAGTGCAGCTACGGGTGCGACACGGGAGCAGGTGAAGGCTGTTATCCCGCCAATATCCGTGATATGTATAATCGTGGCCCTTGTCGTCACAGTTTTAATATGTAAGTTTCCTCAAAGGTAATTTTTTCGAATAATTATACTTTATTTCTGGGTAGTTATTTAGCTGCTGTTATAGTCTCGAAAATTAACCGGCAATGTTTACCTATTTTGCCGTTATGTTTTAAAGTTAGCCTTGTAGCAGACTAACACTCAAATGTTTTCATAGTAAATCTCTACTGTAGAGCCTATTGCTCTTTATTAAGCTGGATTGCACGACATGTTTACTGCGCGTAATATTCGCCGGTTTCCTTGAAACAGCTATCAAGTTTGCCACCAGTTGAAGCGCACTTTGAATAAGTTTTTTAAACTTAAAAATTTAGATCATTTTAGTTAGTAATGTACACTATAGGCACTTATTTAAGGCACATTGTTGCGGCACCTCACGACTTTACGAAATAGAAAACTTGTATACTCGCCGTGGGCACATTTTCGCATTGTAAGCACGTATGCTATTTATTTACTATTAGTACGTCATATTATTCGTCTTCTGCGTCACAGCAGATGAACTAGTGTTCTGTTATCTGCCTGGCTAGTGCCCGTAATTTTAAGAGTATGGTATTTGTTTTGATATACTTAATTATCAGTGATCACTATCAGTGAGATTATTATATTATTGTTGCTTTATTCACAATATGTTACGTTATTCACAATTCGGGTTATACAGATACGGTATGTGTAGTTATTGTATTAGTATGAAAAAGTTTTCTTTATAATTACAACATTTTTTGATTAGCCTAAGTAAGCGCATGTGAGTGAATGGGTAGCGCCTAAGTGAGAAATCACATCTGTGTAATTTATGCAGCAAAACGGTTTGCAGCATCTCTAGTATTTTATGCAACGTTGCACTGTTAACAGGCGCAAATTGGAGTGCCATCAAGCCGGTTCTATTAAGCTGCATTCGGAGCTGCAAGGCAAAATACCCGTCTAAAGTCCAATGTCGTGGATTCGTGCCCGGCAGCAATGGGGAGGTCCAGTGTCCTGTAATGATACCATACATACCGCGTGCCCAGGTGTCAACGAAAATCCATAAGGGGACATCGGAAACCGGTGACTACAGGGCCGCCCGCACAGATTTCTGTGAGTCATGCCAGCGCTCCCGCGCAAATATTCTGCCAGTTTAGTCTTCTAGCTGTATTGCTGAATTCACTTTGTTAGCATTAAAATTTCTATGGTTTTGCAATTATTAAGTCCCTTTTAGGTGATTGTTTTGCATTTTAATTCGCATTAATCTATAGCGAAATTACTACGTAGTAATGACAGTTTCACTTGCTGCATGCGCATTTGTCGATCCTGTTTAAATTGTACGATACCGCCTGCGTGCGACATTAAGACGTTTTACGGCAGTGCAATATTCTGCGGGAATTTGTACCGCGCGTTTTCCTTATTTTAAAATAAAATTTGTTGTTGTTCAGTCTATCGAGCTGCGTTTGTAAAGAATCCGCAGTAAATTTAACAAACTGAAGGATTGCAGTCCGTGAATAAAGAGGCGAATGAAAATGGCGTACGTTTACGTTTTGGTGAGCAACTGTATTGTCGGCTAAGGGGCCGGTAACCGTGTAATTTGTTGTTCACAAAGCTGCATTACCGAATTGGTACTGCCAGCAAAATGTAACGCCGGTTTCTTTAACAATTTGGTGCAAGGTCGGTGTTTTTGCAGCCCAAACGTAGTGAAATTTTGGACGTTGACAAAGTGGATGGTCTTTGACCAGAAAGACAGGACTTGATTGCACTAATCTGTTACAATAAAAGCGGCAAGAAAAGCCCATGTGTTTCGCTAAGCAGTCGCTAAGCATCATTCAGCACGGCGTGCTCTTGTATGGTCTTTAATGGCAGTGGTTAAGAATGATGCCGTCGAGAACGAAGAAATTTTTTCCACCAATTTTTTTTTCACTATTATACTGCAGTAGTAGTGCCTCGTAGTTTACAGCGGTCATAGCGATAGAGAATGATGCTGCAAACAGTATGCTCCTTATGCATTATCCCGCGCGCGCTATCGGGTTTCTGGCGAACCGATTTTCTACGGAGGCCAATTTAATTCAGGTAAACGAGAGCAAGAAGAACAGATATTTTCAGTTTACCTGAATTGCCAAGACGGTAGTTGCTGAAGCATCAGTCGCGCGCCCGTTAAATTTCTAGGAAAACGTATTTGCACTTCTAGCAGCTTCAAACTGGAACACTTTCGCTGATGACTGTATTTTGCCGGTGTATAAGTATGCGAATGCACCGCCTAAATTTAGCAGGTAGTCAGCTACCGTCCTGGCGCATGAGACCATTCATGCTGCTTCTATCCACATAAGGTGTGGCAGCGGGATTTGCGTCTAGACGGGTTCTTTGAGCTGCCTTATTTTCGCTGCATCGATCGAGCAGTAGATCCTTTATCCTTTGCTATGCTTCCGCCAGCCCGTGTATCGGCCTCTGACCTTTACAAAGCGGCTTCGTGCTTACGAATATTGGACAAAGTAACCATTATTATTGATTCAGAAGACCTGGGTTATTAATATTGCACTCGGGGGAAGGGACTCTTGTAGCGGTCGCGGGCATGTATTTCGTGGGGATACTGTATATTCCAAAGAAAAATTTTGGTATGGGCTAATTAATTTCAGACAAATGAATACTAAAGTCGAGCACCTTGCAATTAAAATGAGGTTCCACAAAGAGACCTAAAAAATTTTCTGCAGTAAGAATGAGGCCTGCATCCGGTGCCGAGTGCACTTTCATTTTACGACTAGCGGAATGCGAAACGGACATCTTATTTTCCCGCTTTCTGAACTGCAGCCCATTGGCGTCTATTTCGAGGAGTTGTAAGGACATTCTAGAACTTCCCTAAAAGGTACTCTTATTATTGGGGGAGCACCTGATTCGGACGAACATTTAGTAAACGGAGCGGAATAAAATTTGGGTAACGCATTATCAAATACACAATTACGGAATCAAATAATTTATTCATTTTCAGGTGACCCTAGAGAGGAGGTTATTGCAATTAAAGAGCACAAATGCTGAACTGCTTGCGGGATGATTTAAAGTTGATTATTATCAGCATACTTCAAACATGACCAAGGGAGGTAACGATAAAGGAGTAGCAAAGCCGAGCTAAAATTGTATTGTCGTCTTAAGTTGGCACTGTTTTTTACAGCGAGCCAGCTGTACCGTGTAAAACGCTATTCAGCGTTCACTGGATAGCATGAATCATGCTAAAGCCAGGGACGGTGGCGGTTGAATTCGATAGCCGCCAAAATAACTGCTGAGCATATTTCTTTTTCGAATTTGACAGTTTGGAGAATTTATTGTTTATGACTTAGAAGGAGGCAAACAAATTTTATTTGTTAGTCCAAAATAGTTTAATCTACAACCACTACAACAGAAATTTCTGAAACCTCGAAAAGCTGGAAATCGAATGCCCCTTCACTGTGTTCAGACCGTTGTAAAACCGTGAACAGTATGAACTGCGCAACTTTAATATATGTAGCTTAAATTGAGCTTAATGTAGAAAATAGTGCCAACTTGAGTCGACGATACAATACTAATGCGGTTACGGTATCATTGTTGTTGGTATGCTAATCTGCTCTCTACAACATCAGCACAAGATTAAACAGCTCAACGATAAAACAACATTAACAGAACAAAAACAACATAACATTAAGATAACAACTCTGCACAAAATTACTATACAACATTAACATATGCAGACTGCACGATCCATTCGCTGAAAAGGTCGTCGACCTTGAACCAGCACTGATAACGGCCTTGGTCCCTCCTTTGCACTGGGTCGAGACGCAGGGTCGAGCGGCATAAGCAGGCTCCTTCACTGCTGAAAATCTCGACCCCCGGCCTCATGCGAACATCGCGTTTGAACGCCGGCACTCCGGAGGCGTAGATAAGGTCTTGTTCGTCTCGCCACATGAACCGCATCCCAATACCACGATCACCTGCCGGCATGGCATCGAATTTCACTTGGCAGTGAAGCTCTGCGGTCGCGCCCAACTTGGCCGTGGCATTTGTCATGGGCTGCTGGAAAACTTGTTGGGGCAACAGACGGGGACTGATCAAGTATCTGCGAAGTAGTCTGGATGAGAATTTGTACAAACACGCCTGTATGATGAGCAGAGTTCACAGACAATGTAAACTTTCGCGCGAAGCAGGAAGACGCTCTTGCTTTGAAAATTGTGATTTTTACGAATTTCTTGTAAAATCTTTCTTGGAGCATATTTAATTGATAAATAAGTAATGGACTCATGCTCAACGATACAAAAGACATTCCAAAAAATTTTTTCCATAATTTGTATCTCAAAAATACTACTGCAAAAATAATTTTCCTTCGAAGACGCATTCAGCTTTTGTTAGCCATATTATAAGAAACGCCTTTCATTACTAAGAAACCGAAACGAAACATGGCTCCAGCCCACTCCAATAAAAAAAAACCTACGGAGAAAACCATGGACGGTCTTTCGCACTTTTTCTCGTGATAATTTTGCAATTTTTATTAATCACCTCGCCAACTTTTTGAGAAGCATTAGAATGTTAGAAATTCTTTCCTCTTACAAAATTTTTTTTCAAAAGAATAACGTCCTTAAACCGCTTTTCAGGAAAAATCGAAGCTGTCAGGGAAAAGGAGAAAAAACAAAGATTTTTGGCATACTTACGGCAAAAAAATGACAAACCGTCAAAGGACAAATACGTCAAAGAATTTATCGTTGTGGGTAAAAAGTAAACTTCTTTGATAACTTAGACGCGCATGAGTGGCCATAACATGCGCTTTCTTTTAATGCGAAGGATGACGTATTCGCAAAAGCGAGAAGGCTGAAAACAAAAAATTTAAGTGTCCTACGAAAAAAAAAGTTTATCTTAATCTCTGAGCTCTCAAAGCGTTCCGCTAACACCGTAATAACACTAACACTTGTTGCAGTTGATATTTGAAAGCAATCATCGAAATAATTGCAAAGGCGAGACTGGCACAAAAAGACTTGAAAAACTGCAAAAGCACCTCAACGATTTCGGTCTCTCGTTTTCCCTTTTCTCCACTCAAGCTTTAAGTTTTTCTGATAGCTTACATAATGGTTTATGCAAGAAAAATATAGCATTTCTGTACTGTTCCAAATGACCGAGAGGTAAATCAGGGAAAGCTATTTTTGGAATGTGTTTTGTACATGTATATACTATGGAATTCGATGAACTCCTGGCGCATAGATTACAGATTCATTCATTTAAGTATGTTTGTGAAGCAGCTACTTTTGCGCCGACAGAGAATCTTACATTCGGTCTTACAGCAAATATCGCTAGAAGTTCAACAAGAAAAGAGTAATTTCTCCGATTTTTTGCACAAATTTTTGCTCTTTTTCTATCCGGTTCCAGCCACCAATGGCAGGGAAATGTGCGAAACGAAGCTCGCTTACAGTAGCCTTCAAAAATAACTTCAAATAAAATTTTGGTGAACTGGTCCCGTATCATGCAAATGACAAGAAAAATATACACAAAATTAATCACAGAAGGCTCTGGCGCTACGTACCGATTGGTTACCCTAGCTTTCCCGTTGACCGTGTGTAGACATTCGTACGACCCGGAAAGATAATGCGAGAAGTTGAAGAAACCGAGATAGTACGGTGGCAGGGCGGGGTCCTTCAGCAAAGAGATTTTTGACCTCCAGATAGCGGGCGGGACAATCTTGCAACTACAGTGATGTACTAGTTTCGGCTGCTCATGTATTCTTCTATCGTTAACCGATAGCTGTCGGCCATTGTATCGGATTAGAGGGTGTTGTGCCAGGGTTTCGTCACCACAGGGGAGTGTCACGTTTCCGCCTTCCGGTTCTCGGATGACAACAAACCCAGCCGTCTGATTTGGCAACGGGAACGGCTGGTCAGAGGTCGGAATCTCCAGACGCACCACGCCGTCTTGGCTGCTTTTCAGAGCTTCGTCCATCAACTGCAGCGCTGTAGGTCAACGATAGATGGTTGAAGCAGAAATTGGGGAGACACATTGACGTATTTGACATATATAGTAAACACCAGCCCCACACCAACGACAACACTTCACACTGAAAGCAATTTGAAAAAAATTATTTTTGAACTTTCCACACTTTTTTCCAAGTGTCAGTAGTGCAATAACTTAGTGAAATGCTAAGGCTTGTCCCGAATTCAAAGCGAATCTCGTTGTGGTACGGTTGCAAAACCGCACGAGGTGGCTGTATGCAGTGGCCACGCCTAGAGATACGGTACGCGAAGCCACCTCGCGAGGTGGAGTTGCTGTATCGCAACGAGATTCGCTTTCAATTCGGGACGAGGCCTAAGACAACTACTGTAGTGCTAGTGTTGTGGCTCTAAAAACGAATCATCCACGATAAAACATTGTACGATGAGCGCTTGAGCGGCGATTTGGCAGTTCCCATTACAGTAATTCAGGGAAACACTTCGCAAAATTCTCAGCTATAGTTTTTCGCTTTACGCAGCAGCTATATTTCTTCGCTTTACGAAGGACATCAAGATGTAAGAAACCAGTTCTCTACCTTATGTTTTCCAGCTGATAGTTCCAAATTTGTCAGAAAAACGTATTTCAAGGATGTTAAACGAAAAGCAATTTGAAAGTGTCACTACTGTCAGCACGAGCGAAACACTGCAGAAGCGGTAGCAGCAAGAGGAGACAAAACCCAGTACCAGGGTCTTCTCTAGACTGCATAGAGTTAAGAAAGGCCTTAAGCGCTCTCATTTCGCCTGTTTCGGCACATACCGTAATGATCGAATTTGTACCTACCGGCATAATAAACCCGTCTCCGTATTAAACCCCATCCCATGATCGGTTCGAAAAATAAGGCTTCCCCCCGAAACTACCCCCACGGGGCATTAACAAATGTCAAGTGCCACAAAATGACAGGTGTGCCGCACATTCCTTCATACAGTTTTCATTATTCAATGGGAATCCGGTAAAAGGACATAAAAATAATGTGATATTGATTGTTCTGTTGGAGATAATGTTTTTGCTCGCAAGGTTGTACGATCGAACGACCCTTAATCACAACTGTTAAAGTGATAACTGGATGTACGTGGACGGATGTACATAAACTTTTCAGGAACACAGGAATCCTTAAACAGAAGCTCTGCCACAGCATACAGTCCAACTTCCCGTCATGAATGCGAGGGTCCACTAAGACACGAGCATCCTTTGTTGATGTTACTTTTACGCTATACTCCGTGGTGGACCATGAACGTAGGAGAAACGTGGAAGATGCTTTCTCTTCTTGTCTCTCACTCTCAGCCATCAGCAATATAGGAAGCCAGACTCAAGAACACTTACTAAGACCAATCCAACTAACAATTACTAAAACCTATCCAACTGCTTACATTGGTGAGAACACCAGCCGCATTGACTAAAAGCGCTGACATCACATACACCGCTAAAAATAAGAGAACAACAAACCATATACGAAAGATATAACTAAATAATAGCATCCGTAGCGACGTAGGGAAGGCGTACACAGGAATCACAGGTAAATAGGCAAACAGATGTACCTACGGATATGTGGTATTCCTCCTTTCCACATGTCGCCCCACAAACGATGCTTTACTCTCGCAAACGTTAGCAAACCCATCCAGTCCATCTCGTGCGGTTGTGTGACGCTCCATTTGAATCCATCCCTGCGAAATCCCCACGTGTCCGACCAGTACAAAACGGACTGTACGCCTAATCTGAGTAAACTTGACTGAGCTGGATCCTGGACGCAAGCCGACATTAGTCCACGGAGACTGGGATGGCGGGAGAACCAGAATCCAAGAGGCGTCCAACGAAAAAAGGAAAGAGGAAGAGAGCGAAGAGGACAGACAAAAGAACAACTAGCAAAAAAGAAGAAATTTCTAGTGCGCACTACAATATAGCAAAGAGCTGTGGTACAACCGCACAGCACGCCAGTTAGACAGCAAACCCCGGTATCTCCGTTTAGAAAAATTAGCAGCTGCTATAGCATACATTTCAATGATTTTTACTAGAGCGAGTTAATTGCTACTTGTCATTATCACCAGATTGAATTTGACTGCTCAGGAGAAGGCGTGTGGTGAGTACGAACAACGGACAGCGCGGTGCTGCTGATGCTGCTTTTCACTCAAAGCTGCGGATCTGTACATTCGGGTTCCTCGAGCAACTCTTCAAACGGAATCTGCAAACCTCGCTGCACTGCACACTGTCCGCGATTTGTATGAACTTCCTCAGGGGACACTTCGCTATCTAATTTTAAAACAAAGGTTGGTTAGTGTTTACAGCAAGGTTTTAAAGCGCGTTACGCCAACATGCTGGAATACAGTTTTTAAATACTGCAGTAAATAAATTTAAAAATAATTTAAATTTAAAAATAATTTAAATAGTGCGATAAATACTCAACCCGTTATGCAGTTGGCAGCGAGTTCAACGGATTGCAATCTGAACAAGTGCCAACCGCCTATGGAGCGGTAGTCAAAATCTCTTAATCTTCGCTAATGGTGGAGAGCGTCGTCTGTGTCACGGCTACCCAATGGTAACTGGCATTGCATATAACACACCATAACACGTTAGATAATCAGTACCACAAAGATGTTTGAAGGCTATTCTGAAACCGCGGCGGAGAGGTAATATTACCTTAGGTTTTGTACTTCACTGCCATACCCTTTAATACGTTTTTCTTCACAGACGTGACCAGGACTGGTTAACAGATTCAACAGCGGTTTACTTGCAGACTGCAGTATCCTGTTAGAACCATGGTGTATCTGCGAATCATCAGCAGAGTCGATTAACAACATTTTCGCCAGATTACACGCGACATCAGCTGTGGGGATCCTCAGTGCTGTCCCAGTTTTGTCTCGCATCGACCTTTATCTCGCATCTTGCTGATCATTTTTCTGGTCGGGGTTTGTCAGTCGTAGCTTCTTAAGCGGTGTATATCACCGGCAGAAAGGTAACCACTTAACTAGTTACTAACTGATGATGTTTCTGCAAAACTGCACAAACTTATCTGTGGGATCGGTCGCGGCCCTCACTCATCTCACAATCGCACTAATATATGCTATTTTCTTCGGTACATTGTTTCAAATAGGTTTGTCAATTTTAAAATGTCGAAAAACACTCTATTCGACAGGTACGATGGCGCAAATGTATGGTGGCCGAATTGATAGGGCGCGCCAACGACTTAACAACTGTCCGCTAAATGAAACACGGTTAAATATGTGTAAAATTTATGTTTTTTCGATTTCGAACAAATCCGTTAGCTGCTGTCGTCAACAGCATCGACGGGAAGAGGATTTGTTGGCCAGTCGATATGGACACATCGTAACCTTCCAATTTTCAACAATAAGTAGCCGAAATTAAAAACATTCAGAGCCAAAAGAGACCGAAGAAATAAGAAAAAGCGTTAAAAAACTCAAGAGACCAGAAAAATCCTAAGATACAAAAGTAAACTACGGCAGAAACGACCGGATACGAAATTGCACTTCGACAGAAACGACCGGATGCGAAATGACCGTACAGTACGGTAAGGCAGGCACGACCGGATACGAAATCGCACCGCGGCAGGAACGTCCTGAGGCGAAATTACACTACGGCAGGAAAGACCGAACATGGAATTACGGTACACTTCGGCAGAATCGACCGGATACGAAATTACCGTAAACTATGGCAGGAACGGACGAATAGGAAATAGCATTGCGGCAAGAACGACCGGATACGAAATTATTGTGCGTCAGGAACAACGGGATACATAATTAGACCACGGCAGTAACGAACGGATACGGAAATGCACTTCGGCAGAAACGACCGGAGGCGAAATTACACTATAGCCGGATTGCAGGAACGACTGTAAAGGAAATTACATTTAGCCAGGAAAGATCGGATACGAAATTACACTGCGGCAGGAACGAACAGATACGAAATTGCATTGCTGCAGGAACGACCGGATACAAAATTAAATTCCCGTAGAAACGGCCTGAAACGAATTTACATTCCGTTCCGATTTTTGGCGAGCAAAAACGCGAGAAAAGACTGAGTTGGCAATATTTACGGCGGTCCTTTCGGCTGCTTCCGGTCGCTTCATACGGTTTAAGAGTTAAAACGACCGGGGGACCTCTCAGACGATTTGTCGTTTTGAACTGTTACAAATGGCTCAGCAATACCGTATACATCCAAAGTAATAGCAAATAGTTTTGCAAGAAAGTAGTCAAAGAAGAAGAGCTAACAGTTCTGTATATGTGACGACCAAGAAGTAATCTGCGAGGGCGCATGACGTGAATAATTCGCTAGACCGCGTCGTGCAGTAATGTCATGTGTAATCAGTAAAACCGCTTTTTTGGGTATGTTTTAAAATTATTATGCCAGTTATCGGTAACTTGTACTGGTTTCTCTTGCGTCTGATGCGAACATTCCGTTCCTAGAGCATTGCGCTATGATGAGAAGTTAAATCATTTAACCAATGCTCGACGGTCGTTAAAATATGTGTTGTTTTTACGTTGATTTTTTAAAGTAGGAACTAGACAGGCGCTGGAAAAATTCACGGAGTTACGCAGCATTTAATCACCAGAGCGTCATATTACGTCCATATGGTTTTCCCTTTTTGTCTGGACATTGTCTAAACACTGGGAGAACCTCTGGCAACGCAACAGGTGAATTCGTTGGCAGTCTTCCTGCAACGACTGTGTTATAAGGAATACAACGACTACCAACGACTATTTTTGAGGAACAGTTAATCCATGGCGATGAAAAACTCTTGTTCTGATGCTCAAGTAATGGCTAATATTTTCAAGTCCACGCCAGTACTGAGTAAAGCCGAGAGTTACCCGAAAAGAAACGGAGACCTGAATTGTGGCTAACGTTAAAAAAAACGAGAACGGGTACAAATACCCAGTCTTGCAGTTTCCGGTCGTGTGGGCTTCTTTGATATTCATTTGACTATCTGGTCACTAACACATACACTTAATGTTGTATCTTACGCCATGCGCTGAAAAGTAAAAGAGAGCATAGAATAAAAACAGTACCATTTAGTCCGGAAGAAGGTTGGACAGGACAGGAATCGACAGGATAGTGAAGCAGGAGAACGGTGCCAGTCAGGCATACCAACAGTGATGCACAACTGAAATCCATTGTGCTCTAATAATCCTAATAGCTGGGAAAGTAGAAAGTAGAAAAGAAGAAAGAAACTGAAAGTCAGAAAGTGGAAACTGAAAGTAGAAAGTAGAAATAAGAAAGTGAATACTGCTAGGAAAGAGATATGATAAAACTATCGCTGAAGAAAAACGTAATTAAAAAGTGATTAGCTGACTGCCCGTTTATTACCAGCTCCAGGGCGGCTGCAATAGCCATCGTATACTCTCGCCCCGAGTCCCGTGGCTCAGTTCAGTGCCTGCTCTTCACACAAACGCTGGCTTGGCAAACAGTACCACACTCCTGGGAAAAGTCCCTTCCCTAACTTTTCAGACGAGAAAAACGGGTATTACCACAAAGCAGGTAACAGCTGATGCCCCTGATAGGAATATTAAGGGGGACGCCCGGAACGGGGTTCTGATTTAATGTGGAGGTGGAGACCCGTCAGTGGAGAGTTGACGACAGTATCGTAGCTTGTTCAGCCCTACGGGAGTGTATTGGGCTCCTGCAACCGGCAGCAAATTGGACGGGTGGTTATCAGATATCCAATGAAACCTGATCCACGTTTTTGCCGAAGGTCGGCAGATCGGTAAACTAGTTTTACCTTACGTACGAAAAAAAATTACCATTGCTACGTGTCTTGAAACAGTCGCTCGACACAGTGCAAGAGCCAACAACCAGAAGAATTGCAACTTGCAAGGCTCATTATGATTTGGTAATTTGTTAAGAAAAAACAGCGAAATTATCGTAGGTTAGATCACATAGTTATGTAAGTAGTTGCAGTCACTGATAACTTGTTGTTATTGAGACCTTGTAGTTTTTTATCTGCCTTCTGGCACCTTGCTTTGATGGTATTATTTATCGTGTTAAAGATAGAAGTCTAACCGTCTAGTAGAAGTGAGGACGGTTGAACCGTTCGGCGGACGCTTTTGCCTGTAAGCTACCAAAAACGAAAATCTAGAATTCCTGATATACGCTACGGCAAAACCATCCGTTACCGAAAATTTATTTCGGGTGGTTCATGAGATCAAAGAGAGCACAAAAATCTGGGTGAGCAAAATTTATGGCGGATGGTTTCTCTGACCGTCGGACGGTGTATTCGTCTGGACGGTTTGGCCAGCAGTAGAAGGCCAAGTACTTATTTACTGTACTTACTTGAGTGCAGTTTTTTTTTCCGTACTTGCTCACTTTTGCAACTTATGACCCACAACCTGTAGCATTTCTGCATCAGTGTAAATTTTTTGAGTGGTGCCGGTGTTAATGTCTTTTAGTGGCGCCGTTCTTCTGCTGCATTTTTGCCGGTCACATCCGTGAAAACCGAGCCCGGCGAATATGTGATGGCAGGCTGGCGGCAGTGTTAGTAAAGGCATCCACATAATATTATGTGACCGAGACGGCCAGCTGACTATCCGTTGCTAATTAGCAATGTGACTGACGCGCTCCTCATCTACCTCAAGGGTTCAGTTCAAATTTGTAAAAACGAAAGATTCAATGGGATGATAAAAAAGAGTCGGATGACATGCAGGCAATGTGATAAACAATAATATGCATAACTGCATCCACCTTTTTGCCGGAACAGTGACGGCATGCATTAATTCTCACAATGGGCCTGAATGCACTCAATGATGCCAATGTTAGATCAATCGACACCGACGGGTCGATTGGGCAGAAAGGTGGATGCAGTCCGGGAAAAAAGGGGACGGCTCATCCACCAATCTGCCGAAGGTCGGCAGATTAGTGGCTTTGATTTCATTGAACATCCACCATCCACCCATCCACCTTTCTGCCGGCTTCACCTATTTTTCATGTAATCCCGCACGTTTATTGTTGATTTGAACATTATTCTTGTTTATTTCTGAGAAAGAATCAACCACAAAGGTCACCGTAACGCGTCACATGGTGGCAATAATGCTGCAGGGAGAAAATTAACCCTTGTTGACGAGCGCAATTGCGATAGGATCACAGAGCACCACCAAAACAATATCTAATACAATCAAAACCGTTGCAATAACAACCCCAGATTTCTCCAGAAATATGTGTCAACGGTGGGAGGACATTTAATCCGGCAGCAATGTCTTGCGCTGTTTTCCGCAAAGCTGCCTCTTCGGTCAGAGCCTCAGAGGTAATCGCGCCGATCCCTCTTCATTCTCCATTCCTTTGCGCAATCGGATATAGCCAAAACAGATAGGCTTGATATCAGCCTCAATGTCCATAATCCATGGATTGTCCACAGGGACACGAACAAAATTGTAACCAAATACGAAGTACGTCAAAACCAGCCAACAACAGCGCGGCGGATGGTATTACATTAGGTATTACTAACGTCTGCGCAGCTCATTAGGGACAAATTACAATATAATCACCCAGTGCGTTAAAAACAGCAGGAAGCCTAACAGTGCAAAGTTAGCAAAGCAAGGGCCGCGCGTCATCGAAGTAGTTGGCTAATGTGGTTTATCAGCCAAATGTGCGCTGGTCTAAGTGCATGTTTACAGCTTTATCCTATCGCTTAATTGGACTACACCGGAGCCAATATGCTAGTTTTTTCGTTTTCCGTAAGAGGAGACAATTCATATCTCCGCTTTCACCGGCGGCCGCACCGGAGATGGCCGGCAAAGCCCATAGCCATGCGGATTCGTCTGAATTTACAGGATTTATGTTAGAACGTATGAGAAACATAGCGCCCTAAAAAGTGTTCCTTGTTGCGCCTTGCGATCACCGTCATACTGCTGATTTATCATACGAGTAGTGACAGCCGGCTACAATTCCCACCTTTGCAAATAAACACTTATCTGTTGTGCGCATTTTTGTTTATAATGGGCAATGGTGGCAATGTTGGTGGACCTCGCCGGTGGTGGTGGATAATGCTGCCCATTACTCCAGCACATTAGTCTTGGAATTGCGCGCTCCCCACTCTTTTGAATATAATTGTGCGACGTAAAAAAATACTAAAAAACTAATAAAAAACCACAACAAAAGCAATCAGAAAGCTAAGAAACCTTAGACCCTGATCGAAAAGCTAGATGTATGTCAACAAATACCATCCGTAGGAAGCCGGGCAGCGAAAGTTTAGATTCGCGAATTATCGGTCAGCATTCTTTCGGCCACGGTCAGCAGGTTGTTTAAATCAGCAGATTTTCGGGCACCAAAACGGAAGTCAGCAAACTGACGTGCCACCCGGCAAATTATATTTTAGTTCGTGACTTTGCCAATAGTCTTGTTTATTTTTGATTGAACGTAGAAAAATTATGGGTCATAAGACGAAGGTCACATTAACGCGTCACAGTGTGGCAGTAATGCTGCAGGGAGAAAAATAATCCTATGCCTTGTTGACAAGCGCAGGTGGGGTGGAATCACATAGTCATAACTCATAACCAAAGCTAATGCAGTTGCTTAACTGTTGTAATATCAACCCTAGATTTCTCCGGAAATGTGCGTCCACGGTGGGAGGACATTCAATCCGGCAGCGATTTTTTCGCTGTCTGCCGCACAGCTGGTGGGCACAAAATAGGGCAGCTCTAGTGAATGAAAGGGCCGTATTACCGCTCTACACAACGCCGGTCAGATACCCTGCTGCTGTGTTCTCTCCATTCTCCATTCCTTTGCGCAATCGGATGTAGCCACAGCAGGTAGGCGTGAAATCAGCCTCAATGTCCATAATCCATTGAATGTCCCTGGAAATCGAGAATATCGTATCCATAGACAGCTCAGGTCAAGACCAGCCAACAGCAGCGCGGCGGATCGTATTTTTGATTTTTACCAGATCACTGTTAGCATCATGCTAATCCGTCCAGTGCAATATATTTATTCCTGGCAATTGCCGGCAACTCGAGCAGGGTGGTTCAGTAGCCATTTGCATTGTCGTAGCGGTGAATTTTTACTAGTCTGCCTCTTTGATTAGATTTGGCAGGAAACAATCAATCTCTTTAGAATTATCATGACTTTGACGAAGATTTATCGGATTATCGAATTCAGTAAAAATTTCCGTCAGTGTCATGATAATTCCAAACCTTCGAATTTGTTGGAAGACGCAATGGTCATTATTGAAAGTGCAGCTAAAGATGCCATACCGGAGCAGCTGATGGCTGCCATAACGAAGGTACCTGTTATACACCTCTATACGAAGGTACCTCTATACGAAGGTACCTCTATACGAGGTGCTCTTGTGGTTAAAATTCTCATTCGTAAGTTTCGTCAAAAGTATTTCGAATAATTATGTTTTATGTTTCATTTTTGGGTAGTTTGGTAACTGAATTTATGCATCCCAACTTAACCAACAAAGTTCACCTTTTTGTAGCCATTAAGTTTTGAAGTAAGCGTTAAGGCAGTCACACAATTTCGTAGTCATTGGTAGTGCCTATGCTTAAATTCTGGTTCCATAACATGTTTACTGCGCGTAATATTCGCCGGTTTCCTTGAGAGAGCATTCCAGTTTGACACTAGGCAAAGGGCTTGCGGAGGCTACCTTGCGAACACTTAGTACACGGGTAAAAGACGTTGCGTAACATTAGCAATTTTCCTGACCTTTTCAGAACAGAATCTTTGTATGTTCCCCGATGGCATGTTTTTGCATTAAATACCTGGTCATGAATAACGTCCGAACGTAAACTTGTTTGTTATTCATCTACTACTGCGAAGTCTTGATATTAATATTCCGCGTCACACCGGATGAACTTTTCTGTCATCTGATACTGATGCCCAGAGTTTTAAGAGTATGGTATTTGTTTATAGATACTGATTTACCAGTGATCCCTATCATTGAAATTATTTTATTTTTGTTGCTCTATTCACAGTATGTACATAAACCAGCTTCGCTCAGTTAAACTCAAATGAGTCAATTAATGAGAACTGGTTCCAAATACAAATAGGAGTGCACTAGCCACGCATAGCGTAAAATTATTATCTCTACAAAAATATTGCTGTAAGATTATTACAATATTTTTGGTTTGGTGCAATAAAAGTTTAGACTCCCATAAAGACTTGTGAGCGGAAGGTAGGACGTAATACATTTGCCTAAGGTATAGTATGAATACATAACATTTCCTTACAGTTATACGAGTACAAATATCTTTTGATAAGCTTAATTAAGCAAGTGTGAGCGAAT